TAGGGAGGGCGATGAGTGGAAGACAGCATTTAGTACTACCTCCGGCCATTACGAGTATCTCGTCATGCCATATGGGTTAATGAATGCTCCATCAGTCTTCCAATCGTTTGTAGACTAACTTTTCCGGGACATGCAGGCGCAGGGAGTAGTGGTGTACATAGATGATATTCTTGTGTACAGTGCTACTCGGGCCGAGCATGTAGCCCTGGTGCGCAGGGTATTGAGGAGACTGTTGGAGCATGACCTGTATGTCAAAGCTGAGAAATGTCTGTTCTTCCAGGAGTCAGTTTCCTTTTTGGGTTACCAGTTGTCTGCGTCAGGGGTGAGAATGGAGGTGGACCGAGTGTCCGCTGTGCGTAATTGGCAAACCCCAACTACGGTTAAAGAGGTGCAGCGGTTCTTGGGTTTTGCGAATTACTACCGGAGGTTTATCCGGGGTTTTGGACAGGTGGCAGCTCCCATAACGTCTCTTCTGAAGGGGGGTCCGGTGCGCTTGCAGTGGTCAGCTGAGGCGGACAGGGCCTTTGGGAGACTGAAGGACCTGTTTACCTCGGCGCCGGTGTTGGCGCACCCGGATCCCACTTTACCCTTCCAAGTTGAGGTGGACGCGTCTGAGGCCGGTATCGGGGCAGTTCTTTCTCAACGATCCGGTACACCACCTAAGCTCCGCCCCTGTGCTTTTTATTCTAAGAAGCTCAGTCCGGCGGAGCGGAATTATGACGTAGGGGACAGGGAGCTGTTAGCCGTAGTACAGGCCCTAAAGGTGTGGAGGCATTGGCTTGAGGGGGCTCAGCACCCTTTCCTCATTCTGACCGACCATCGTAACCTGGAATACATTCGGGCAGCTAGGAGACTGAATCCTCGCCAGGCTCGATGGACTATGTTTCTCGCCCGGTTTGTGTTCAAGATCACTTACATCCCTGGGTCCCAGAACGGGAAGGCAGATGCTCTGTCCCGTCGGTATGACACGGAGGAGAGGTGCGTGGAGTCCATTCCCATACTACCGGAGTCTTGTCTGGTGGCACCGGTGGTGTGGGAGGTCGATGCGGAGATCGAGCGGGCGTTGCGCACCGAGCCTAGTCCTCCACAGTGTCCGGTGGGTCGGGTGTACGTCCCGCTCGAGGTCCGGGATCGGCTGATTTATTGGGCTCACACGTCCCCCTCCTCTGGACATCCGGGTATTGGCCGGACAGTGCACTGCCTTAGTACGAAGTACTGGTGGCCAACGTTAGCCAGGGATGTGAGGGTTTATGTCTCCTCCTGCTCAGTGTGTGCCCAGTGTAAGGCGCCCAGACACTTGCCCAGGGGTAAATTACAGCCCCTGCCCGTTCCACAACGACCCTAGTCTCACCTCTCGGTGGATTTTGTTACCGATCTTCCCTCCTCACAGGGGAATACCACCATCCTGGTCGTTGTGGATCGGTTCTCGAAGGCCTGTCGTCTCCTTCCCATGCCGGGTCTTCCTACGGCCCTACAGACCGCTGAGGCTCTATTTACTCACGTCTTCCGGCATTACGGGGTGCCCGAGGATATAGTGTCCGATCGAGGCCCCCAGTTTACCTCCAGAGTCTGGAGAGCATTTATGGAACGTTTGGGGGTCTCGGTGAGCCTTACCTCGGGTTACCACCCGGAGAGTAATGGGCAGGTTGAACGAGTCAACCAGGATGTGGGTAGGTTTCTGAGGTCATATTGTCAGGGCCGGCCGGAGGAGTGGGCGAGATATGTGCCCTGGGCCGAGATGGCACAGAACTCTCTCCGCCACTCCTCCACCCAACTAACCCCTTTCCAGTGTGTATTAGGGTACCAGCCGGTTCTGGCACCGTGGCATGAGAGCCAGATCGAGGCCCCCGCTGTGGATGAGTGGGTGCGGCGCTCGGAGGAGACGTGGGACGCTGCACACGTCCATCTGCAGCGTGCCATACGTCGACAGAAGACGAGCGCCGACCTACACCGCAGTGAGGGGCCAGTGTACGCACCTGGAGATCGAGTCTGGCTCTCAACCAGAAACCTGCCCCTCCGCCTGCCCTGCCGGAAGCTGGGTCGGCGGTTTGTGGGGCCTTTTAAAGTCCTGAGGAGATTGAACGAGGTGAGTTACAGGTTAGAACTACCTATTGATTACAAGAATATTAACCCCTCGTTCCATGTGTCTCTCCTCAGGCCGGTGGTAGCTGGTCCACTCCAGGACTTTGAGATTGAGGAGACTCCTCCGCCCCCGTTGGACATCGAGGGGGCTCCGGCGTACACGGTTCGGACCATCCTGGATTCGAGACGCCGGATGGGGGGTCTCCAATATCTCGTGGAGTGGGAGGGGTACGGTCCGGAGGAGCGGTGCTGGGTGCCAAGGAGGGACATTCTGGATCCGTCCCTGATGACCGAATTCCATCGTGGTCATCCTGCGCGCCCTGCTCCGCGTCCCCCTGGTCGTCCCCGAGGCCGGAGGCGGCGCGCGGCTGGAGCCGCGTCAAGGGGGGGGTACTGTCACGGTTTCGGCCGAGGCGGCTCCTCCTCCTTGTTCGGGCAGGTTTCGCCGGTCGTCGTCTCCGGAGTTCTAGCTGCCACCGCTCTATGTTTCTTGTTTGTTTGGTTTTGTCTGTTAGTCACACCTGTTTTGTGTTAGGTCTCATTTAGCACCCTATTTAGTTTCCTTGTTGTTAGGTTAGTGTTGTGTGTAATTGTTCATGTCGTGGTTGCGCTACCCGTGTCGGTACGCTATTTTCCTTAGTTGCCTCCTTGTGTGTTAGGAGAGTTTACGCACCTGTGTGTGCGCTCGCATTTACGCCTGTGTGCGTCCTTTTGCCTCCGGGCTGTTTTGGATATATTTTTGTGCTTAAGTAAAGTCTTGTTGGACTTATCCTCTGCTGCCTGCGCCTGATTCTACACCACACCTACACAGCATCGTGACATACGGCCTCATGTTCTCCCTCTTAGGTGCCTACATTTTGTTTTAAATCTGTCATATTGTCTGGTCAATTGCTGTAATATTATGGAGTAAACCTCTCTCTCTCTCTCTCTCTCTCTCCCTCTTTCCCTCTCTCCCTCCCTCATAGGGGGCACGCTCTCCGCCTACTGGCGTCCTCTGCAACGTTGGTTAACCCCGTCCTCTACGTGTTCATGTCCAATAAGTTCAGGAGGGATCTGATGGCGCTAGGGAGGGAGTGCTGGGAGGGTTGCAGAGGGTGTATAGGGGTGTGTACGGGTGTGGTGGGAGGCAGGGACATCGTGCAGCTGGATACTCCACATCCACCCCTACCCAGATTCTAAGGGTTACTAACTATGGATACTCTATGGACAGTCTATAGATGCTCTTTGGACAGTCTATGGATGCTCTTTGGACAGTCTATGGATGCACTCGATGGACAGTCGATGGATACTGCGGCAGTCCCATCCCGGAGGACCTGAGCCCTAGGACCATGCCTCAGGACTACCTGGCCTGATGACTCCTTGCTGTCCCCAGTCCACCTGGTCGTGCTGCTGCTCCAGTTTCCACTCTTCTGCCCACGGCTATGGAACCCTGACCTGTTCACCAGACGTGCTACCTTGTACCAGACCTGCTGTTTTTAACTCTCTCTCTCTACCGCACCTGCTATTTCAACCTCTAAATGCCCGGCTATGAAAAGCCAAGTGACATTTACTCCTGATGTACTGACCTGTTGCAACCTCTACAACCACTGTGATTATTATTTGACCCTGCTGGTCATCTATGAACATTTTAACATCTTGGAGAAAAATCTGGCCTTAATGGTCATGTACTGTTATAATCTCCACCCGGCACAGCCAGAAGGGGACTGGCCACCCCTCAGAGCCTGGGTCCCCTCTATGTTTCTTCCTAGGTTTCTGCCTTTCTAGGGAGTTTTTCCTAGCCACTGTGCTTCTACATCTGCATTGCTTGCTGTTTGGGGTTTTAGGCTGGGTTTCTGTGTAACACTTTGTGACATCTGCTGATGTAAAAAGGGCTTTATAAATCAAATTTGATTGATTGATTGATTGATTGATATAGACCATTCTATGGACCACTATGGACCACAATAGACCACTCTATAAACCACTTTATGGACCATTATGGACCGTCTATGGACACTAGAAAAACATGCTTGGTTTGAACAAGATCTGTCTTACAACCTATTCAACATAATTTAATTTCAATAAACACAATCAGCTCAGCTCAGGCCATTAGTTTTTTCCTATTTGTTTAATATCACAAACTGATCAGAGCTGTACGTGTATCAGTGTGTGAGCTGGGCTAAAATGGACAAAGTAATGGTCTTGCGCAATAGTTGAGAGGATCAGCAAGAATGTTTTGTCACTTGTGGACAATATAAATATATATAAAGAGAGTTGCACTCTATATATAAACTCCCAGTCATTTATTAGGAACCCTGAAGAACGCACAGTGATGCCGAAACATTGGTGGTTTACCCAATACATTACTGGGAGTTTAAATATAGTGTGCAACTCTCTTTATTTATTTTTATAGCTTCCAGTTTATTATAACATAACACGGTAAATGTTAGATACTCACTCTCCACCACCTTCTTGAGGTCTGATCCATCATCATTGATCTGCTGGATGTTTCCAAAGTGTATGTCACTGAAGAAGATCCGGTTGGCTCCCCTCCCCCCTCCCCCGCGGTAGTCAAAGGTCAGGGCAATGACGTTCTTCATGTGTTCCGGGTCCTCGAAGGGTTTGATGGGGGCGTTCAGGTTGGTCTCGTCTGATAGGTGGATACTCTTCAGAATGGTCCGCTCCGAGTACAGCAGGTAGCCGTCGTAGTCGCGGCAACTGCGGCTGTCCTCGGCCAGCATGCCGTGTGCACAGGCGCAGGTTCGCTCCCCGTTGCCGCGGTAAAGACAGAGCTGTTCGCAGCCGGCATTGTTGTCTTTACAGATGTTGGTGCCTGAGGGAGAACACACACACTGGTCACACACATCCGTCTCATAGACACACACACTGGTCACACACATCCGTCTCATAGACACACACACTGGTCACACACATCCGTCTCATAGACACACGCACTGGTCACACACATCAGTCTCATAGACACACACACTGGTCACACACATCCGTTTCATAGACACACACACTGGTCACACACATCAGTCTCATACAACTAAACGCAGCACACCAGGGTTAGAGAGAATTCCATTCCAATTCAATCCAGGAAGGGAATAAAAATAACTCACGCTTTTACATTTTTCATTTGGAATATCAATTTAATTTCCTGAGTGGACCGATTTAAAATGAAATGCACCACAACCCTTACCTTGTTGCCTGTCCCTGTTGAAGACCTTGATGTCCTTCAGCTGTACACCGATGCCTGTCCTCAGATACACATATTCTGTAGCGTTGTCTTTGTTGCCTCTCTTGATAGAACCGTTGGCATGAGTCCTGGTCCAACACAACACACAAACCACTATCAGTCACTTTCAAACAGGCTTTGAGGAAAAACAACAACATTCGTAGTAAATGAAACGCATGCAAAGGGGATACTGGATGAAGACAGAGGGCTAGCACAGCAATCTCACATACAAGACTGTCAGTCAATTTAAATAGACTTTGAAGAAAATTTAATCCCAGTGCAAACTGTAGTCCTTACTGTTCGTCAATGGTCAATGCTCCTTATAGGAGACAAGGTCTTTAGTGAAGTTAGTCAAGCATACTATAGCAGGGCAGCAGGGAATATTAAGGGTTAAACAAAGAGAGGAGGTGACAGGGATAGGACAGCAGTGATCTCACCTGTCACTCCAGTAGATGAAGCCCTCGAAGACGGACACAGCGAACATGTCCATGTTGTTATTGGCCAGCACCAGCTCTCTGTTTTCTCCATTCTCCAGATTGATACGCTCTATCCTATCGGTCCGCGCATCACACCAGTACAACAGGCCCTCCTACACACACAAACAATAAGAACAACAATATGAATCAGAAAAATATTCTAACTGTTTTTTCGAAACAACAAGGTTGTAAAGAGGAGAAAAATGCTTGATAGGTGTGAATCCGAAAGAAGGTTTATAATTAATCTTAAATATATTGCAAATAAAGTGAAACCTCTATAAATAAATTGTGTGTGTGTACTGTGCCTTGTAGTCAATGGAGATTCCGTTGGGCCACATGATGCTGTCATTGACCAAGACGACTCTCTGAGAACCATCCAGACGGGCTCTCTCTATACGGGGGACCTGACCCCACTCTGTCCAGAACAGATACCTGCAGGGACACAGAGACACACACACACACACTCATATGAGTTTGAAAGCAAGCAATGTATGCTATTTTTGCTCTCTATAGATTAAATAGCACAATAAAATATTATTTACAGTGTACAATCATATAACCAGCTACTGCTTGTAATTATTAATCAAAGTGCAAACATTGTTGGTTGCTGGACTAATAATAGTCCATAGGTAACCATGTTATGACACATAGAGCACTACACTATACACAGACACACAAGCCCCAGCCCCAGTAGCAAAGCCCTAGCCCCAGTAGCCAAGGCCAAGCCCCAGTAGACAGGCCCCAGCCCCAATAGCCAAGCCCCAGTCCCAGCCCCAGTAGCCAAGCCCCAGCCCCAGTAGACAGGCCCCAGCCCCAATAGCCAAGCCCTAGCCCCAGTAGCCAAGCCCCAGTAGCCAAGCCCCAGCCCCAGCCCCAGTAGCCAAGCCCCAGTCCCAGCCCCAGTAGCCAAGCCCCAGCCCCAGTAGCCAAGCCCCAGCCCCAGCCCCAGTAGCCAAGCCCCAGTCCCAGCCCCAGTAGCCAAGCCCCAGTCCCAGCCCCAGTAGCCAAGCCCCAGCCCAGTATCCAAGCCCCAGCCCCAGTAGCCAAGCCCCAGTCCCAGTAGCCAAGCCCCAGTCCCAGCGCCAATAGCCAAGCCCCAGTAGCCAAGCCCCAGTCCCAGCCCCAGTAGCCAAGCCCCACTCCCAGTAGCCAAGCCTCAGTCCCAGCCCCAGTAGCCAAACCCCAGTCCCCAGCCCCAGTCCAAGCTCCAGTAGCCAAGCCCCAGTCCCAGCCCCAGAAGCCAAGCCCCAGTCTCAGCCCTAGTCCCAGTAGCCAATCCCCAGTCCCAGTCCCAGCCCCAAGCCCCAGTAGCCAAGCCCCAGTATCCAAGCCCCAGTCCCTAGCCACTCACCCTCTCTCTGGGTGGACGGTGATGGCACGGGGCTTGTCCAGACCCTGGGAGATGACCACATAGCGGAAGGAACCATTGAGTCTGGCCACCTCGATCACGTCAAAGCCCTGGTCTGTCCAGTAGATGTTACCTGACAGGGGAGGGACATGAGGAGTCAGAGTGTGTGTGTGTGTGTGTGTGTGTGTGTGTGTGTGTGTGTGTGTGTGTGTGTGTGTGTGTGTGTGTGTGTGTGTGTGTGTGTGCATGTGTGTATCCGTGTGTGTGTGTGTGTGTGTGTGTGTGTGTGTGTGTGTGTGTGTGTGTGTGTGTGTGTGTGTGTGCATGTGTATGGTCCATGCATGTGTGTATCCGTGTGTGTGTGTGTGTGTGTGTGTGTGTGTGTGTGTGTGTGTGTGCGTGCGTACTTCTGTATGGTCCATGCATGTGTGTATCCATGTGTTTGTGTGTGTGTGTGGTTGTTTTCTGACCTGCTATCCAGTCCACAGTGATGCCCTCCACCCTGCCGATGCCGTTGGTCACCACGTCTTCTCTCCAGGTCTGGTCTCTCTTAGCTCTGCTGATGGTGCTCAGTCCCATGTCCACCCAGTAGATAGTGTCATTGTCTACAGGACGGGACAGAGTGATGACTGTTAGTAACTGGATACAACAATCCCTCAGGCAGGTACAGTGTAATAACAGATCAGGTACACATCTTCACAGTACGGTTGGTGTGACTTGATCCTCAAACCAAACTCTCGTATTGTTGTTGGTAGGGCCATAGCAGTACACTCACCAGCGTGGAAGTCAATGCCCACAGCCAGCGAGGTGCCAGACACGGGCACCAGGGCATCGGATTGATCAGACGGGTCCAGGGGTATTCCTCTAATGCCCTCATGTACTGAGTAGAGCAGGAAGGAGCCCATGCCTGGAGAGAGAGTACAGAACAGTTATTAACTACTGTTACAGTATATTCTGGGGGTGTCTGGGACAGTATAGCTATATATAGGATATATGAATGACCATGCTCCTGTCACCTTTTAAATGATTTGAATAATTGTGCAAAGTAATGTGATTTGTGGATTTGAATAAAGTATTGAAAATGTGTTGGTCTCTTACCCTCGCAGGACTGCTGTCCACTCTTGAGGCTGTACCCTGCGGTACACATACAGGCTCTGGTGCTAGCGGAGGTGGGCAGGCACAGCTGGGAACAGTCTCCATTGTTCCTGCTACACAGGTTGATGCCTGGGACAACAGAGAATAAAATACAGTTCAAAATACAGCCAAACAATAATAACAAAAACAGGACTTTTGAAAAACTCACAGTCAAAAACAAAAACATTTATTATTCATTCAGTTGCATAGTGTCATTCATTCATTCATTAACTTATCTCAGTTTTACCTGGTAAGTTGGTAAGTGTGACATCGTCAGTGTGGCATCCTCAGTGTGACATCATCAGTGATATCCTACCTGTACCTGTCTGCATGCTCTCGTTGTAGATCTTCATGTGCATCATGGGAGAAGTGTTGTTACGTAGCACCTTCCAGTTCCCCCCGTCACTCTTATCACAGGTCCCTATCTGGTCTGTACCCTGGTCGGCCCACCACAGCTTGTCCCCTACACACACACACACACACACACACACACACACACACACACACACACACACACACACACACACACACACACACACACACACACACACACACACACACACACACACACACAATGGCCTCAAGCTCAAGCTTCAAGAAAATGTTCTCGATCTTCATGTTTTAATCAATTGACCAATTTTAAAAGCTTTTTTCATAACGAATGACACACACCTATCTCTCAAATGCAAAAGACGGTTTTTGCACTTTGGGTTTTGCCGGTATAACACTAAGTCCAGGACCTACCCATGATGGCACAAGCGAGGCTTGGTCAGTTCCTGGTTTGACCCGTCCAGGACTCCTGCCGAGCGTACAGTACAGCGAGGACGGTGCCGTTCCTGACTACACCCAGTACAGCTTCTCTTTTCACAGTTGTCGTAGTCTCAGACAGGCCTGGAGGGGACAGAAAGGACAGTAGCACACACACTCCGTCACTCTCTTCTCTCCCCTTCCACCAGTCTCTTCGTCAGTCTCTACAGCCTGGAGGGGACCATAGGGACAGACCACCACCATCTCTCTCACTTCTCGATCTCTCTCTATCTGCTCTCTCTCTCTCTTCTATCTCTCCTCTCTTCTCTGTCTCTTCTCTCTCTCCTCTCCTCTCTTCTCTCTCCATCTCTCTCTTCTCTCTCTCCTCTCTTCTCCTCTCCCCCTTCCCTTCTCTCCGTGCCTCATCTCTTCTCTCTCTCCTCTCTCTCTCTCTCTCTCCCCTCTTCTCTCTCGTCACTCTGGCTCGCACTTTCTTTCACTCCGTTCACGCTCTCAGCATTGTTCTACACCACAGTGTTAGCGTTCACCCACTCACCTATAGGGCTCCTCTGATTGGTGAAGAGCGTGGTACGGTTGCTGCCATCCATGTTGGCCATACTGATGTTGTCCCCATCAGTCCAGTACAGCTTTCTGGAGAAGGACACACACATGATGGCAATAAGGCCAGAGGGGGTGTAGTATATGGCCAACATACCACGGCTAAGGGCTGTTCTTACGCACGACGCAACATGGAGTCCCTGGATACAGCCCTTAGCAGTGGTATATTGGCCATATATCACAAACCCCCGAGGTGCCTTATTGCTATTATAAACTGGTTACCAACGTAATATAATAAATGTTTTGTCATACACGTGATATACCACGGCTGTCAGCCAATCAGCATTCAGGGTTCGAACCATCCAGTTTATAATATACATCAAGCTTGGTTTGACTGTCACACGACTGAAATCACAATGACAACATCAACGTGCATGTGTGTATATGTGTGCGGGCCTGTGTGTATGCGTATCCCACTCACCCCAGTATAGGGTGCAGGACCAGACAGTGGGGTTTATCAAGGCCCTGGATGACAGCGTTCTTAAAGGATCCGTCCAGTCTGGCCACGTTGATCTGTTTCTTATTGGCATCATAGCTGGTCCAGAACAGGTTCCTAGACATCCAGTCTACTGCCAGACCATGGGCGTTGGGCAGGTCTGAAAAAACAAGCACACATACAGGCAATATTAACTAAACCACTAACTACATTAAATAAACTAATTCTTTGATCCAACATTTGCCCAGTGGATTCCAAAGCAGTATTTGTTTTCTTTCAAAGACTTTAGCTGCTCTTCATTGAACTTGCCTTGAACTTTGGAACTTATAGTCTTAAAGGTGCAAACCTCGCACACCTGGCACTCCAAAAATATATTTGAAAGAAAACAAGTACTATTTGGGAACTCAGGTCTGATCCCAAGCTAAAGTGGGCTTCCTACCAGCAGACACCACAGTCTCCACTCCAGTCCCATTGATGAAGGCTCTCTTGATGGTCTGGGTTCGGACATCTGACCAGTAGATACGGTTCTCCAGAGCATCATAGTCCACCACAGTCACGTTGTCTATGTCTGGCACGGTGAAGGAGATGATGTAATTATAGTAGGGGTTGTCTATGTCCACTCCCCTTATCTCTATCTGACGGGCATACAGCAGGAACTGACGGGACTCTGGTAGGGGAGAGAATGGAAGAGACAAGGGATACAGTGGAAGGGTTACTATCAACACATCACAAAGTCACACACATTCAGACCCAGTTCCAGCCCAGTGGTCATCGCTCAGACCCATTGGTCATCGCTCAGACCCATTGGTCATCGCTCAGACCCATTGGTCATCACTCAGCCCTCTGAGTATGTGTGTGTGTTGCTTCCTACCTTTGCAGGTGCGTTTGTCGGCCTGGAGCTTCATGAGGTGAGGGCAGGCACAGGAGAAGGTCTGGTTGTAGCTGATCAGACACAGGTGAGAACAGGGGCTCTGCCCATCAGCGGTGGCACAAGGGTTAGGAGCTGAGGGAGAGAGGGGAAGAAGAAATGTTAACCACTGTGATCAGCTATCTCCTTGTGTTAACCACTGTGATCAGCTATCTCCTTGAGTTAACCACTGTGATCATCTATCTCCTTGTGTTAACCACTGTGATCATCTCTCTCCTTGTGTTAACCACTGTGATCAGCTCTCTCCTTGTGCTAACCACTGTGATCAGATCTCTCCTTGTGTTAACCACTGTGATCAGCTCTCTCCTTGTGTTAACCACTGTGATCAGCTCTCTCCTTGTGTTAACCACTGTGATCAGCTCTCTCCTTGTGTTAACCACTGTGATCATCTATCTCCTTGTGTTAACCACTGTGATCATCTCTCTCCTTGTGTTAACCACTGTGATCAGCTCTCTCCTTGTGTTAACCACTGTGATCAGCTCTCTCCTTGTGTTAACCACTGTGATCAGCTCTCTCCTTGTGTTAACCACTGTGATCAGCTCTCTCCTTGTGTTAACCACTGTGATCAGATCTCTCCTTGTGCTAACCACTGTGATCAGCTCTCTCCTTGTGTTAACCACTGTGATCAGCTCTCTCCTTGTGTTAACCACTGTGATCAGCTCTCTCCTTGTGCTAACCACTGTGATCAGCTCTCTCCTTGTGCTAACCACTGTGATCAGCTCTCTCCTTGTGCTAACCACTGTGTGATCAGCTCAGGGCCAAGTCTGCCTCTATTAACCACTGACTGACTAACTAACAGTAACAGCTCAGGGACACCTACAGTATAGTAGGCCACTGGTCACTATATACATGGAGTACCCATGTCACATCATATAGTGTAAGACGCCATATGACTGGACATCTAGGCCACTGGACATCTATACTGTATATAGAGTATGTCACAACAATATATTCTGAGTGTACAGAACATTAAGAACACCTGCTCTTTCCATGACATAGACTGACCAGGTGAATCCAGGTGAAAGCTATGATCCCTTATTGATTTCACTTGATAAATCCACACCAATCAGTGTAGATGAAGGGGAGGAGACAGGTTAAAGAAGGATTTTTAAGCCTTGAGACAATTGAGACATGGATTGTGTATATGTGCCATTCAGAGGGTGAATGGGCGAGACAAAATATTTAAGTGCCTTTGAAGGTATGGTAATAGGTGCCAGGGGCATTGGTTTGTGTGCTGGGTTTTTCAACGCTCAACAGTTTCCTGTGTGTATCAATAAGGTCCACCCCCCGCCCCCCCCAAATGATCCAGCCAACTTGACACAACTATGGGAAGCATTGGAGTCAACATGGGCCAGGATTCCTGTGAAACGTTTTCGACACCTTATAGAGTCCATGCCCCGACGAATTGAGGCTGTTCTGAGGGCAAAAGGGGTGCAACTCAATATTAGAAAGGTGTTCCTAATGTTTTGTCCACTCAGTGTATAATGAGTTAGTCACACCACATGATAAGCGGTCTCAATCTGTCTACAGAGTGTGTCTTCAAGATCAACACAACCTATCTAAGCCCAGATCAACACAACCTGGATCAACACAACCTATCTAAATCCAGATCAACACAATCTATCTAATCCCAGATCAACACAACCTATCTAATCCCAGATCAACACAATTTATCTAATCCCAGACCAACACAATCTCTCTAAGCCCAGATCAACACAACCTATCTAAACCCAGTTCAATACAACCTATCTAAACCCAGTTGGTCTTGGCCACCATATATACTGTCTACTGCACATCAGGGATGGGCAACGTTGATGGGGGTGGGGGCCACCAAAAATCTGAACTCATCATGAGTGTCCGCAGTTGCTTGCGGTGCCCCCCGGCCGGTAATTCAACCATGATAACAAGCTTAGATAGCTGGTCGCTAAACTAATTTAGCAATCTAAAAAATTTTAGCTGACCTGAGCTAATTGATTATCAGTGACTGACATAACAAGAGGAAAACTGCTGAAGAACCAAATTTCAAAATTGCACCTTGTGTATTCTACTATTGAGTCTAAAAGGCCAAATACTGCAGTGTGTGGCCTTTATTATCCACAGCGTGTGTGTGTGATTCACAAGATCATGGAGGCAACACAACACATGGGACAGTAGTGAAAGGTCAGTTGTCTGAGGGGAGTTGAGTGTTTGGATTCAGCAGGTCTGGAGTCTAGTGTACCACTCAGTCCTGCCCTTTCATTCAACACTGCACCAGTGTGTGTCCCAGTCCAGTTACAGTAGCAGTAAGAGTGGCTTGTGTGTGTCGGCGTGCATGCGTGCGTGTGTACGTTGTCTTCAGAAAGTATTCACACCCCTTGACTCTTCCCCACATTTTGTTACGTTACAACCTGAATTTAAAATTGATTAAATTGAGATGTTTTGTCACTGGCCTACACACAATACCCCATCATGTCAAAGTGAAATTGTGTTTTCCAACATTTTTCCAAATTAATAAAAATGAAAAGCTGAAATGTCTTGAGTCAATAAGTATTCAACTCCTTTGTTATGGCAAGTCTAAATGAGTTCAGGAGGAAAGATTGGCTTAACAAGTCACAAGTTGCATGGACTCCCTCATCTCTGTACCCAACACATACAATTATCTGTAAGGTCCCTCAGTTGAGCAGATTCAACCACAAAGACCATGGAGGTTTTCCAATGCCTCGCAAAGAAGGGCACCTATTGGTTGATTGGCAAAAAATAATAAAAAAGCAGACATTGAATATCCCTTTGAGTATGGTGAAATGATTAATTACACTTTGCACTAAAAATATATAGGCGTCCTTCCTAACTCTGTTGCCGGAGAGGAAGGAAACCACTCAGGGATTTCACCATGAGGCCAATGGTGACTTTAAAACAGTTACAGATTTGAATGGCTGTGATAGAAGAAAACTGAAGATGGATCAACAACATTATAGTTACTCCACAATACTAACCTAATTGACAGAGTGAAAAGAAAAAAGCCTGTACAGAATACAAATATTCCAAAACATGCATCCCGTTTGCAAGAAGGCACTAAAGTAATACTGCAACAAATGTGGCAAAGCAATTAACTTTTTGTCCTGAATACAAAGTGTTATGTTTGGGGCAAATCCAATACAACACATTACTGAGTACCACTCTCCATATTTTCAAGCATAGTGGTGGCTGCATCAAGTTATGGGTATGCTTGTAATCGTTAAGGACTGGGGAGTTTTTTAGAATTTAAAAAAACGGAATGGAGCTAAGCACAGACAAAATCCTAGAGGAAACTCTGGTTCAATCCGCTTTCCACCAGACACTGGGAGATGAATTCACCTTTCAGCAGGACAATAACCTAAAACACAAGGCCAAATCTACACTGGAGTTGCTTACCAAGAAGACAGCGAATGTTCCCAAGTGGCCGAGTTACAATTTTGGCTTAAATCTTCTTGAAACTCTAAGGCAAGACCTGAAAATGTTTGTCTAGCAATGATCAACAACCAATTTGACAAAGCCTGAAGAATTTTGAAAATAATAATGGGTAAATGTTGCTCAATCCAGGTGTTGAAAGCTCTTTTTTATTTGTGTATTTTATTTCACCTTTATTTAACCAGGTAAGCCAGTTGAGAACAAGTTCTCATTTACAACTGCGACCTGGCCAAGATAAAGCAAAGCAGTGCGATAAAAACAACACAGAGTTACATATGGGGTAAAAAAAACATAAAGTCAAAAATACAACAGAAAATATATATACAGTGGTGCAAATGTAGCAAGTTATGGAGGTAAGGCAATAAATAGGCTATAGTGCAAAATAATTACAATAGTATTAACACTGGAATGCTAGATGTGCAAGAGATTATGTGCAAATAGAGATACTGGGGTGCAAAAGAGCAAAATAAATAACAATATAGGGATGAGGTAGTTGGGTGGGCTAATTTCAGATGGGCTGTGTACAGGTGCAGTGATCGGTAAGGTGCTCTGACAACTGATGCTTAAAGTTATTGAGGGAGATAAGAGTCTCCAGCTTCAGAGATTTTTGCAATTCGTTCCAGTCATTGGCAGCAGAGAACTGGAAGGAATGGCGGCCAAAGGAGGTGTTGGCTTTGGGAATGACCAGTGAGATATACCTGCTGGAGCGCAGACTACGGGTGGGTGCTGCTATGGTGACCAATGAGCTAAGATAAGGCGGGGATTTGCCTAGCAGTGATTTATAGATGGCCTGGAGCCAGTGGGTTTGACGACGAACATGTAGTGAGGACCAGCCAACAAGAGCGTACAGGTCACAGTGGTGGGTAGTGTATGGGGCTTTGGAGACAAAACGGATGGCACTGTGATAGACTACATCCAGTTTGCTGAGTAGAGTGTTGGAGGCTATTTTGTAAATGACATCGCCGAAGTCAAGGATCGGTAGGATAGTCAGTTTTACGAGGGCATGTTTGGCAGCATGAGTGAAGGAGGCTTTGTTGCGAAATAGGAAGCCGATTCTAGATTTAACTTTGGATTGGAGATTCTTAATGTGAGTCTGGAAGGAGAGTTTACAGTCTAACCAGACACCTAGGTATTTGTAGTTGTCCACATACTCTAGGTCAGACCCGTCGAGAGTGGTGATTCTAGTCGGGTGGGCGGGTGCCAGCAGCGTTCGATTGAAAAGCATGCATTTAGTTTTACTAGTGTTTAAGAGCAGTTGGAGGCTACTGAAGGAGTGTTGTATGGCATTGAAGCTCGTTTGGAGGTTTGTTAACACAGTGTCCAATGAAAGGCCAGATGTATACAAAATGGTGTCGTCTGCGTAGAGGTGGATCTGAGAGTCACCAGCAGCAAGAGCGACATCATTGATATACACAGAGAAAAGTGTCGGCCCAAGAATTGAACCCTGTGGCACCCCCATAGAGACTGCCATAGGTCCAGACAACAGGCCCTCCGATTTGACACACTGAACTCTATCTGAGAAGTAGTTGGTGAACCAGGCGAGGCAGTCATTTGAGAAACCGAGGCTATTTAGTCTGCCAATAAGAATGCGGTGGTTGACAGAGTCGAAAGCCTTGGCCAGGTCGATGAAGACGGCTGCACAGTACTGTCTATTATCAATCGCGGTTATAATATCGTTTAGGACCTTGAGTGTGGCTGAAGTGCACCCATGACCAGCTCGGAAACCGGATTGCATAGCGGAGAAGGTACGGTGGTATTCGAAATGGTCGGTGATCTGTTTGTTAACTTGGCTTTCAAATACTTTCGAAAGGCAGGGCAGGATGGATATAGGTCTGTAGCAGTTTGGATCTAGAGTGTCACCCCCTTTGAAGAGGGGGATGACCACGGCAGCTTTCCAATCTCTGGGGATCTCAGACGTTATGAAAGAGAGGTTGAACAGACTAGTAATAGGGGTTGCGACAATTTCGGCGGCTAGTTTTAGTCTTAGAGACATACCCAGAAAGACTCACAGCTGTAATCACTACCAAAGGTGCTTCTACAAATTATGGACTCAGGAGTGTGAGTACTTATGTAAATGAGATATTTCTGTATTTCATTTTCTTAAATTTGCAAAAAATGTCTAAAAATATGTTTTCACTGTCATTATGGGGTATTGTTTGTAGATGGATGAGAAAATAAATATATTTAATCAATTTTGAATTCAGGCTGTAACAACAAAATGTAGAATAAGTCAAGGGGTATGAATACTTTCTGAAGGCAATGTATGTATAAATGTAAGCGTCCGTCCGTCCGTGTGACCTACCCTGGGGCTGTCTGGATGGATGATACACCTGCAGGTCAAAGGGTTGTGTGTTGGTGCGTTGGACCACGGTTACGTTGTTGCCGGTCCACTTGTTAGCCTTGGCCAAGGTGTTGGTCCTCCAGTCTGTCCAGTACACCTCTCCTCCGTACATGGTGACAGCAAAGGGATGAGACAGGTACTCATGACCCCTCAGCACCTCGATCAGACCAGAGCCGTCATACAGAGCAGAGTAGATGGCATCAGACCTGGGGAGAGAGCATTTATGAGGTGAGTGGGTGAGGGTGTGTGTGTGTGTGTGTGTGTGTGTGTGTGTGTGTGTGTCTGTGTGTGTGTGTGTGTGTGTGTCTGTGTGTGTGTGTGTGTGTGTGTGTGTGTGTGTGTGTGTGTGTGTGTGTGTGTGTGTGTGTGTGTGTGTGTGTGTGTGTGTGTGTGTGTGTGTGTGTGTGTGTCTGTAGTAAGGAGAGCAACAGTACCTGGCATCGATCCAGACAATGCGTCTCTCCATATAGTCTACAGTTAGTCCGTTTGGCCAGCCACCGCTGCCAGTCTCTTTATGGATAGTCCTCCTGGCCTCACCACTCATAGATGCTGCCTCTATCCTGGGCAAGCTGGCATCCCAGTCTGTCCAGAACAGAATACTAGACACACAGACAAAGAGAACAAAGAGAAACACACATTCAATAATATTCAGCAGCATTATGTCATACATACAGTATGAGAGTGTGAAGAGGTACTACAGAACTCTATGGAATCCCATTATAGCTCTTTGGTTCTATGGTATCTGTTTTACATTTACATTTTAGTCATTTGGGCTCCCGAGTGGCGCAGTGGTATAAGGCACTGCATCTCAGTGCTTGAGGCGTCACTACAGACCCCCTGGTTCGATTCCAGGCTGTATCACAACCGGCCGTGATTGGGAGTCCCATAGGGCGGCGCACAATTGGCCCAGCGTCGTTCGGGTTTGGCCGGTGTAGGCCGTCATTGTAAATAATAATTTGTTCTTAACTGACTTTCCTAATTAAATAAAGGTAAAAAAAAAAAAAAAACATTTAGCAGACGCTCTTATCCAGAGCGACTTACAGTTAGTGAGTGCATACATTTATTAAAAAAAATTCATACTGGCCCCCCGTGGGAATCAAACCCACAACCCTGGCGTTGCAAACGCCATGCTCTACCAACTGAGCTACATCCCTGCCGGCCATTCCCTCCCCTACCCTGGACGACGCTAGTTCTATGGTATCGGTTCTATGGTATCTGTTCTATGGTTGTATAGTATCTGTTCTATGGTTCCATGGTATCTCTACCCATCGCATGGGTCCAGTGTGCTGGCCCTGGGGTGCTTCACCTACCCCAGCTAGGTGGTCCTCATGGTCCTATTATCTACTCTCCACAGTTCTATAGACGGGTAAACTCACAACGTAGCGAAAACAATGCGTGCGCTTCAATGGGGCAGAAGTCTGTGTGTTGTTATGATTCTGAACGGTCAGATAGCTAGCAACAATGACGAGATGCTGCCATGTGGGGAATCGTAGGTGGCTCGTTTCAGCTCATTGTATCTTGTTATTGATAACATGTCTTGTTTTGTAGTTTTTTTGACTGATGTCACGTTCTATGCTAATATGGCAAAAGTTTGCTAACTAGCTAACCGATAACTGTAATGATGTACAGTGGGGGAAAAAAGTATTTAGTCAGCCACCAATTGTGCAAGTTCACCCACTTAAAAAGATGAGAGAGGCCTGTAATTTTCATCATAGGTACACGTCAACTATGACAGACAAAATGAGAATTTATTTTCCAGAAAATCACATTGTAGGATTTTTAATGAATTTATTTGCAAATTATGGTGGAAAATAAGTATTTGGTCAATAACAAAAGTTTCTAAATACTTTGTTATATACCCTTTGTTGGCAATGACACAGGTCAAACGTTTTCTGTAAGTCTTCACAAGGTTTTCACACACTGTTGCTGGTATTTTGGCCCATTCCTCCATGCAGATCTCCTCTAGAGCAGTGATGTTTTGGGGCTGTCGCTGGGCAACACAGACTTTCAACTCCCTCCAAAGATTTTCTATGGGGTTGAGATCTGGAGACTGGCTAGGCCACTCCAGGACCTTGAAATGCTTCTTACGAAGCCACTCCTTCATTGCCCGGGCGGTGTGTTTGGGATCATTGTCATGCTGAAAGACCCAGCCACGTTTCATCTTCAATGCCCTTGCTGATGGAAGGAGGTTTTCACTCAAAATCTCACGATACATGGCCCCATTCATTCTTTCCTTTACACGGATCAGTCGTCCTGGTCCCTTTGCAGAAAAACAGCCCCAAAGCATGATGTTTCCACCCCCATGCTTCACAGTAGGTATGGTGTTCTTTGGATGCAACTCAGCATTCTTTGTCCTCCAAACACGACGAGTTGAGTTTTTACCAAAAAGTTCTATTTTGGTTTCATCTGACCATATGACATTCTCCCAATCCTCTTCTGGATCATCCAAATGCACTCTAGCAAACTTCAGACAGGCCTGGATATGTACTGGCTTAAGCAGGGGGACACGTCTGGCACTGCAGGATTTGAGTCCCTGGCGGCGTAGTGTGTTACTGATGGTAGGCTTTGTTACTTTGGTCCCAGCTCTCTGCAGGTCATTCACTAGGTCCCCCTGTGTGGTTCTGGGATTTTTGCTCACCGTTCTTGTGATCATTTTGACCCCACGGGGTGAGATCTTGCGTGGAGCCCCAGATCGAGGGAGATTATCAGTGGTCTTGTATGTCTTCCATTTCCTAATAATTGCTCCCACAGTTGATTTCTTCAAACCAAGCTGCTTACCTATTGCAGATTCAGTCTTCCCAGCCTGGTGCAGGTCTACAATTTTGTTTCTGGTGTCCTTTGACAGCTCTTTGGTCTTGGCCATAGTGGAGTTTGGAGTGTGACTGTTTGAGGTTGTGGACAGGTGTCTTTTATACTGATAACAAGTTCAAACTGGTGCCATTAATACAGGTAATGAGTGGAGGACAGAGGAGCCTCTTAAAGAAGAAGTTACAGGTCTGTGAGAGCCAGAAATCTTGCTTGTTTGTAGGTGACCAAATACTTATTTTCCACCATAATTTGCAAATAAATTCATTAAAAATCCTACAATGTGATTTTCTGGAGAAAACATTTCTCATTTTGTCTGTCATAGTTGACGTGTACATATGATGAAAATTACAGGCCTCTCTCATCTTTTTAAGTGGGAGAACTTTCACAATTGGTGGCTGACTAAATACTTTTTTCCCCCACTGTATTTGAGAGACATCAAGTGCTCATTGTGGAAATGTATTTACAGTGGGGAGAACAAGTATTTGATACACTGCCGATTTTGCAGGTTTTCCTACTTACAAAGCACATTGTATGATTTTTAGGTAATTAATTTGCATTTTATTGCATGACATAAGTATTTGATCACCTACCAACCAGTAAGAATTCCGTCTCTCACAGACCTGTTAGTTTTTCTTTAAGAAGCCCTCCTGTTCTCCACTCATTACCTGTATTAACTGCACCTGTTTGAACTCGTTACCTGTATAAAAGACACCTGTCCACACACTCAATCAAACAGACTCCAACCTCTCCACAATGGCCAAGACCAGAGAGCTGTGTAAGGACATTAGGGATAAAATTGTAGACCTGCACAAGGCTGGGATGGGCTACAGGACAATAGGCAAGCAGCTTGGTGAGAAGGCAACAACTGTTGGCGCAATTATTAGAAAATGGAAGAAGTTCAAGATGACGGTCAATCACCCTTGGTCTGGGGCTCCATGCAAGATCTCACCTCGTGGGGCATCAATGATCATGAGGAAGGTGAGGGATCAGCCCAGAACTACACGGCAGGACCTGGTCAATGACCTGAAGAGAGCTGGGACCACAGTCTCAAAGAAAACCATTAGTAACACACTACGCCGTCATGGATTAAAATCCTGCAGCGCACACAAGGTCCCCCTGCTCAAGCCAGCGCATGTCCAGGCCCGTCTGAAGTTTGCCAATGACCATCTGGATGATCCAGAGGAGGAATGGGAGAAGGTCATGTGGTCTGATGAGACAAAAATAGAGCTTTTTGGTCTAAACTCCACTCGCCGTGTTTGGAGGAAGAAGAAGGATGAGTACAACCCCAAGAACACCATCCCAACCGTGAAGCATGGAGGTGGAAACATCATTATTTGGGGATGCTTTTCTGCAAAGGGGACAGGACGACTGCACCATATTGAGGGGAGGATGGATGGGGCCATGTATCGCGAGATCTTGGCCAACAACCTCCTTCCCTCAGTAAGAGCATTGAAGATGGGTCGTGGCTGGGTCTTCCAGCATGACAACGACCCGAAACACACAGCCAGGGCAACTAAGGAGTGGCTCCGTAAGAAGCATCTCAAGGTCCTGGAGTGGCCTAGCCAGTCTCCAGACCTGAACCCAATAGAAAATATTTGGAGGGAGCTGAAAGTCCGTATTGCCCAGCGACAGCCCCGAAACCTGAAGGATCTGGAGAAGGTCTGTATGGAGGACTGGGCCAAAATCCCTGCTGCAGTGTGTGCAAACCTGGTCAAGACCTACAGGAAACGTATGATCTCTGTAATTGCAAACAAAGGTTTCTGTACCAAATATTAAGTTCTGCTTTTCTGATGTATCAAATACTTATGTCATGCAATAAAATGCAAATGAATTACTTAAAAATCATACAATGTGATTTTCTGGATTTTTGTTTTAGATTCCGTCTCTCACAGTTGAAGTGTACCTATGATAAAAATTACAGATCTCTACATGCTTTGTAAGTAGGAAAACCTGCAAAATCGGCAGTGTATCAAATACTTGTTCTCCCCACTGTATGTTTTCAATAAACACTGGAGACGAAATATGGTTTAATGTTGTCAAGAATCTAAGCCAACCACGTCTTTTTGCCCCATAGTTGAGCACGTGTCGGTTTTGTTGCTAAACAACCAACCCGTCTATACTAATCTATGCTTTACTGTTCTATACTAATCTACACTTTACTGTTCTATACTAATCTACGCTTTACTGTTCTATACTAATCTACACTTTACTGTTCTATACTAATCTACGCTTTACTGTTCTATACTAATCTACACTTTACTGTTCTTTGCTAATCTACACTTTACTGTTCTGTAATCTATAGTTTTGTTTCCTCACCCGTCTCTGGGGTCGAGGGCGATGGCCCGTGGGTGCTCCACCTCACCAGCCAGTAGAGTGGTCCTCATGGTTCCGTCCAGTTTGGCCACCTCTATCTGATCCAGGTTACTCTCCACCCAGTAGATGTTCCCTGCTATCCAGTCCACAGCCAGCCCTTCTGGAGTGGCCAGGCCATACTGGATCACCACCTCGAAACTGGTCAGAGCTGGAGGGGGTAGGAGGGGGGATGGAGGGGAGGAGAGAGGGGAGGGGGTAGGAGGGGGGATGGAGGGGAGGAGAGAGGGGAAGGGTATGAGATGGGAGATAGAAGATGGCTGGTTTAGTGCCTTGCATGGGAAATTGAAGATTTGTTTGACACTCCTATCACTGACCTCAATACACAGAAGAAAAAATGTATTCGATGAGATTTGAAGAAAATAACCTGATTAGATAGCTCTTGATAATGGACATGACAGAAATGGGACCCAGTGAACCAAGCTGTATTAGAGCTTTCTGCAATGGGGCAATATTTGCTGAAGTAATACAATATGTCTGTCTAGCTCATGTCAAAAGACAGCAGCTAGAGACTAACTCCATCCAGCAGCACACCTGTTTAACTGCAGCAAACCGCTGACAAACTGAGAGGACTGTTTAGAATTCCTTCTCTGTGGAATCAGAATCAGTCAGTGGCATGGCACGCACTGTTTGTCTGTCAGTGTGGGGTTTCTAGTGGGGGGTTTCTAGTGTGGGGTTTCTAGTGTGGGGTTTCTAGTGGGGGGTTTCTAGTGGAGGGTTTCTAGCGGGGGGTTTCTAGTCGGGGGTTTCTAGTGGGGGGTTTCTAGTGGGGGGTTTCTAGTGGGGGGTTTCTAGTGTGGGGTTTCTAGCGGGGGGTTTCTAGCAGGGGGTTTCTAGTGGGGGGTTTCTAGTGGGGGGTTTCTAGTGGGGGGTTTCTAGTGGAGGGTTTCTAGCGGGGGGTTTCTAGTGTGGGGTTTCTAGTGGGGGGTTTCTAGTGGGGGGTTTCTAGTGGAGGGTTTCTAGCGGGGGGTTTCTAGTGTTGGGTTTCTAGTGGAGGGTTTCTAGTGGGGGGTTTCTAGTGGAGGGTTTCTAACGGGGGGTTTCTAGTGGGGGGTTTCTAGTGGGGGGTTTCTAGTGTGGGGGTTTCTAGTGGGGGGTTTCTAGTGTGGGGTTTCTAGTGTGGGGTTTCTAGTGGAGGGTTTCTAGTGGGGGGTTTCTAGCAACACTTTGCTAAAAAAAACAGAACATAGGTGGCGATTTCTGGGAAACTTCTAAGAGAAACCCACCCCCCCCCCCCACACACACACACACACACACATCTCTCCATCTCCCCAATATGCACTTGTGCAGCTATCCCTCTCTGTTCTCAGAAAAGCCTGGGACCCCAATGGAAGCTAAGCAGTAATGGTGTACAGCTGATGATTCTGTGGAGCGTCATTAGAGCATTAGAGGGAGAGGGCCTCTTCACAGCTTGGTTGTTGTTATACTGCTGGAACCACAGTTGGCTCTTTTGTTTGTTGTTGGCAGTACACAGTGACCATGTTTGCCCCACAGTTTAGAATCTGCTGAACGCTGAATCGTCTTCAATCAGAAGCCGCAGGGACTGATCTATGGCTTGGACACAATGTCTCGTAGGAGGGTTGTATTTAGGAGGGGTGGGAGGGGGGCAGGGATCAGGGAGTGTAATGTAATGTAGTGTCTCCTACGCTACGCCGCAGTGTGTGTCTGTGTGTGAGTGAGTGCCTGTTTGTGGTGTGTGTGTGTGTGTGTGTGTGTGCATGTGTGTTCTCTGGCCAAGGCTGGCTGCAGTCACGCAACGGACGGTGAGACAAATGGGAAGAGACAAAGCCTTTTGTTCGGGAAAAGTACATTCACTCAGAAAAAGTACTTTCTTTGTGTAACCTATTTTTTTGTCCTAAGAGCAAAAACATAGTCCTTTCTACTGGCTGATGTAAGACCAAGTAGACAAGTAGAGCTTTGGACATGCTAGTGATGGGTTTTCCACAATAATCTTCTGCCACTACCCTTGTCTCTTTGTGATATGGCTGCCTCATAATAGAATAAAAAAAGATACAGCAGAAAAGACACAGAATCACCCAAAATATAAAGAGACGCTTAACCCCTCACCTCCCTCCTAACCCTCACCTCCCTCCTAACCCTCACCTCCCTCCTAACCCCTCACCTCCCTCCTAACCCCTCACCTCCCTCCTAACCCTCACCTCCCTCCTAACCCTCACCTCCCTCCTAACCCCTCACCTCCATCCTAACCCCTCATCTCCCTCCTAACCCTCACCCTCCCTCCTAACCCCTCACCTCCCTCCTAACCCTCACCTCCCTCCTAACCCCTCACCTCCCTCCTAACCCTCACCTCCCTCCTAACCCCTCACCTCCCTCCTAACCCCTCACCTCCCTCCTAACCCTCACCTCTCTCCTAACCCTCACCTCTCTCCTAACCCCTCACCTCCCTCCTAACCCTCACCTCCCTCCTAACCCCTCACCTCCCTCCTAACCCTCACCTCCCTCCTAACCCCTCACCTCCATCCTAACCCCTCACCTCCCTCCTAACCCTCACCTCTCTCCTAACCCTCACCTCCCTCCTAACCCCTCACCTCCCTCCTAACCCCTCACCTCCCTCCTAACCCTCACCTCCCTCCTTACCCCTCACCTCCCTCCTAACCCTCACCTCCCTCCTAACCCCTCACCTCCCTCCTAACCCCTCACCTCCCTTCTAACCCTCACCTCCCTCCTAACCCCTCACCTCCCTCCTAACCCTCACCTCCCTCCTAACCCTCACCTCCCTGCTAACCCTCACCTCCCTCCTAACCCCTCACCTCCCTCCTAACCCTCACCTCCCTCCTAACCCTCACCTCCCTCCTAACCCTAACCCTCACCTCCCTCCTAACCCTCACCTCCCTCCTAACCCCTCACCTCCCTCCTAACCCTCACCTCCCTCCTAACCCCTCACCTCCCTCCTAACCCCTCACCTCCCTCCTAACCCTCACCTCCCTCCTAACCCTCACCTCCCTCCTAACCCACACCTCCCTCCTAACCCTCACCTCCCTCCTAACCCTCACCTCCATCCTAACCCCTCATCTCCCTCCTAACCCTCACCTCCCTCCTAACCCCTCACCTCCCTCCTAACCCTCACCTCCCTCCTAACCCCTCACCTCCCTCCTAACCCTCACCTCCCTCCTAACCTCACCTCCCTCCTAACCCCTCACCTCCATCCTAACCCCTCATCTCCCTCCTAACCCTCACCTCCCTCCTAACCCCTCACCTCCCTCCTAACCCTCACCTCCCTCCTAACCCCTCACCTCCCTCCTAACCCCTCACCTCCCTCCTAACCCTCACCTCCCTCCTAACCCCTCACCTCCCTCCTAACCCTCACCTCCCTCCTAACCCCTCACCTCCCTCCTAACCCCTCACCTCCCTCCTAACCCTCACCTCTCTCCTAACCCCTCACCTCCCTCCTAACCCTCACCTCCCTCCTAACCCCTCACCTCCCTCCTAACCCTCACCTCCCTCCTAACCCCTCACCTCCATCCTAACCCCTCACCTCCCTCCTAACCCTCACCTCTCTCCTAACCCTCACCTCCCTCCTAACCCCTCACCTCCCTCCTAACCCCTCACCTCCCTCCTCACCCTCACCTCCCTCCTAACCCTCACCTCCCTCCTCACCCTCACCTCCCTCCTAACCCTCACCTCCCTCCTAACCCCTCACCTCCCTCCTCACCCTCACCTCCCTCCTAACCCTCACCTCCCTCCTCACCCTCACCTCCCTCCTAACCCTCACCTCCCTCCTAACCCCTCACCTCCCTCCTAACCCTCACCTCCCTCCTAACCCTCACCTCCCTCCTAACCCCTCACCTCCCTCCTAACCCTCACCTCCCTCCTAACCCCTCACCTCCCTCCTAACCCTCACCTCCCTCCTAACCCTCACCTCCCTCCTAACCCCTCACCTCCCTCCTAACCCTCACCTCCCTCCTAACCCCTCACCTCCCTCCTAACCCTCACCTCCCTCCTAACCCTCACCTCCCTCCTAAGACAGGAGAAAGAGCTTTCGACACAGTGATGTATTTGCCAGAACAATCTTCTACCATTATCCTTTTCATTTTCCTAATAATAAGTCATAGTAGTTATCTTCATTTTAGATCTTTAAGAACGCAGGACACTTCTTGTTTTTTTTAATGTATTTTATTTTATTTTGTCCCCTTATCCATTAATGTGTTGTATTCTCATGGATGTCAGTTTGTATTGACTGTTATGTGAGTGTAAATATCTGGAATAAATGGAGATACTTCACCTCCGTTGTCGGACAGTTTCCCGCGGTAGATCTTGTCCTCCACCACGTCAGTCCAGTAGAGGGTGTTCTGGCTGAGGTGGAAGTCCAGAGCGATGGTGTTCCTCAGGTTAGGCACCAGCACGCTGAACTCCCCCTTGTGGAGGTCAATACGACGGATCTCATGGCGGTTGGAGAAGATGATGAACGGCTTGAAAGGATCTGAGGGTAGAAGTTTTTCCTGGTCAGGTTGTATAGTCAGACAGGAAACACTCAGGGCCCAACCATAACCACTGAGAGACCGGGTAGTACTACTGAGTAATACTGTAGCTTAGCCAAAGAGCAATATTTAGCAGAACTTCCCTAAACCACACATTCAATCATTATTTTCTCCATCTGATGTGTCCCACACCATCTCTTTTCTATTTCTCCACTACCTGACTCCACACTTTCTTTACCCTCTTTCCCTCCCCTTCTCTCCTCTCCCCAAACCCCCCCCCATCCCCTAACCTGATCCCAACCCCAACCCCCCTTCTCACCGGTACTCTTGCAGCTCTCCATATCAGGCTCCAGTTCATATCCATTTTAGCAGGACCACACCTCTTTTCTAGTTCTCTACTACCTTACCCCCCTCCCCTCCCCTCCACCCTCCTATCCCCTCCTCCCTACTCCTCACCTCCCCTCCCCTCCTACCTCCTCTCCCCTCCTCCCTCCTCTCCCCTCCTCTCCCCCTCCTCTCCCCTCCTCCCTTCTCACCAGTGCTCTTGCAGCTCTCCATATCTGTCTCCAGCTCCCAGCCCTCGTAGCAAGAACACTTGACGCTGCTCTTCTCCTGCTCACACTTCTGGCTGCACTTGAGGTGCTTGGCACAGAGGTTCATGATGTGGCAGGTCTTGTTGTCGGTGCCCAGCTCCATACCCAGGGGGCAGGAACACATGAAGCCTTTCCCAGGGACAATGGAGCAGTTGTGGCTGCAGCCGCCGTTGTCTATGGAGCACAGGTCTGTGGAGGGTAGAGAAGTCGAGAGCGAGAGGGGGGGGGGGGGGGGGGGGGGGGGGTAAATCAATTAGATGTGGCGTTAGAGGTCATTCCTACCTTGACTGAGGTGGTAGGGTTATGGGTAGGGAGAGTGAGTGAGTTAATGTGTGTTTGAAAGTGTGTGTGACAGTGTATTCATACCACAGAGTTTCTCGTCGGAGCCATCAGGGCAGTCGTCAGTGCCGTCACACAGCTTCTCAGCGGGCAGACAGACAGAGTCGTTGGTGGCACAGACATGGTGGGACAGCTTACACACCAACGCCTCACAGTTGTCCTCATCAGAATTGTCCTCACAGTCACTGTCCCCATCACACACCCAGGCCTTACTGATACAACGAGCTGGCGACAGGTCAGAGGGTAAAGGTCAGAAGTCACGTCTTACTAATACAACAGACTGAGGGGATACCCAGACAACATCACACCCAGGCCTTACTAATACAACAGGCTGAGGAGATAACCAGACAACATCACACCCAGGCCTTATTGATACAACAGGCTGAGGAGATAACCAGACAACATCACACCCAGGCCTTATTTATACAACAGGCTGAGGAGATAACCAGACAACATCACACCCAGGCCTTATTGATACAACAGGCTGAGGAGATAACCAGACAACATCACACACAGGCCTTATTGATACAACAGGCTGAGGAGATAACCAGACAACATCACACCCAGGCCTTATTGATACAACAGGCTGAGGAGATAACCAGACAACATCACACCCAGGCCTTATTGATACAACAGGCTGAGGGACAATTAAACATCATGGCCACATGAAACATCTGGCAAGCGCAACTCTTACTAGAAAAACATAGATGCGCCCTTGAGATGGCTGATATGGCATGCTGTGTCTGCTGCTATGAAATAAATCTAAATAACTACAGTGATTCAGTCTGTTTGTGAGTGCTGCTGGCCGTGTTAATCCCCTGAGCATCCAGGGGTCATGCATGGGTCAACAAAGGGGTCAAAGGGTCAACCAAGGGGTCAAAGCCATCCTTGTTTTTAGAGAGCAGATGGTTGTCATATTCTTCACTACAAGCCCCTTGACATAACAAGCTCTCTTAAGTGATTGTGTGTGTGTGTGTGTGTGCGCGCGTGTGTGTGTCCGCCCAGACAATGCTTGCCCTAAGACAGGGCTATTATTTATGGCATGAAGACTCCCTGACTTGTCACTGACTAATCTCATGAGGACAGAAAAGACCATGGCACACACCAGAGCCTTCACTTCCTGAATCCTAACTGACTGATCTGATTAGAACAATAAAGACCAAACACTCAGTTAGCCAATAGCAAAGAGGAAGAGACAGGACGAGAGAGTGGTTAGCCAATTGCACTTGAGGGCTGAAAAGGCCACCACACACTCACCAGAGTTCCTGCAGCTGAACTTGACAGCTGGGTCACACATGTGTGTCACTCCCTCACAGTCATTCTCATCACTCAGGTCCATGCAGTCTGTGTCCCCGTCACAGTGCCAGCGCATGGGGATGCACAGGCTGTCCATGCGACACTGGAACTCATCCACGTGGCAACCACCTGGAGGACGTGTTGCTAGGGAGACACATGGAGAGAGATCCGAGTTACATTCACATTTTTACATTTTAGTCATTTAGCATACGCTCTTATCCAGAGTGACTTACAGTTAGTACATTCATCTTAAGATAAATGGGTGAGACAACCACATATCACAGTAGTAGCCAATAGCAGAGTTAGCCAATAGCAGAGTTATCCAATAGCAGAGGGGAATAGAGCATGGTGAGCAACAAGTTAAGCGAAAGCACACTTTTATTAGGGAATCGAGAGAGCGAGAGCGAGAGCGAGAGAGAGAGAGAGAGCGAGAGCGAGAGCGAGAGAGAGATGAGAGAGACAGAGAGAGTGCATAGAGCATTTATGGACAACAGTGTCTACCCAGAGAGTGACCCCTTAACAAAACTGGCCCAAAAACACAAGATAAAAATTAACACAAGTGATCTGACCCCAAGGGCAACATTTAGACAGCTGGAGGTGAGTAATAAGAACGTATACATCAACTATTGGCGGATTGAGTTCGAAGGTCAGAGAAAGATCCAGCTCAGCTGGTAGAGCATGGCGCTTGTAACGCCAAGGTAGTGGGTTCGATCCCCGGGACCACCCATACACAAAAATGTATGCACGTATGACTGTAAGTCGCTTTGGATAAAAGCGTCTGCTAAATGGCTTATTATATTATTATTATTATAAAGATGGAATGCTACCGAACATTGGAAAGAGACTTCACTTTAGCTGATTACTTAACCCATGTAAAAGATCCCAAACAAAGAAAAACCTTAACCAACCTTAACCATTCAATAATAGTGGAAAAAACCTTCATAACACACAACTCCATTAAATATGGCAACCTAGGCCAGTTAGTCATTGACATGTAGGTCTGCAGGCTTAGACTGGGTTAAGTCTCCAGATGGTTCTCTGTAAAAAACAAGCAATGACTAAATGTTTTGTTCTGTTCTCACAGACATCATCGCCTGATATTAGAGGAAGATTAAGGATATCATTAAGGAAGTGGAATAATTAAATCCCTCCATGGCAAGGGTCAGCAGTTGGCATAGGGAAAAGGTCAAGGACCTATCCTAAGTGGAACACAATACATGAGAGAAGGGAACTGGGGAAGCCAATAGTTTTGTTTTTCTTCCCTAACTAATTACTTCCAGAGGGTTCGGTATGCATGCACGCACACACGCACACAGGCGCACACACACACACACACACACACACACAAACAAACACACACACACACACACACTCATACTAAGCACAGATCTCTCAGTTGGCCAAAAGTCCATGCTGGCCTCAATGTTTCGTGCTGGACTCAAAGACGCACACCTGCATGAGCACACACACATGCACACGCGCGCACACAAACACACACACTTCTCCCCTGTCATTCCAGGGCAGGCCAACTTCTAAGCAATTAACTCCTCTCTCAAATGCAAACTGAGTGCTGAAGAAAAAGAGAGAGAGAGTGTTAGAGAGAGTTAGAGAGAGTTAGCGAGAGAGCGAGCGAGTTCGAGAGAGAGAGTTCGAGAGTCTGAGAGTTAGAGAGAGGGCTTTGGAAGCTCTGCCTGGCCTCCTCTGAACTCCGCCACAGCATCACAGCAAAGTCATTACCAGTAAGTCATTACCTAGTCATTACCAGTTAGTCATTACTGAGTCATTACCAGTTAGTCATTACAGAGTCATTACCGGTTAGTCATTACCTAGTCATTACCGGTTAGTCATTACCTAGTCATTACCGGTTAGTCATTACCTAGTCATTATCGGTTAGTCATTACTGGTTAGTCTAGTTAGTCATTACCGGCTAGTCATTACTAGTTAGTCTAGTTAGTCATTACCGTTTAGTCATTACAGAGTCATTACCCCTTAGTAATTACAGAGTCATTACCCATTAGTAATTACAGAGTCATTAACCATTAGTCATTACAGAGTCATTACCCATTAGTCATTACAGAGTCATTACCCATTGGTAATTACAGAGTCATTACCCATTAGTCATTGCAGAGTCATTACCAGTTAGTCATTACCGAGTCCGTACCAGTTAGTCATTACCTAGTCATTACTTGTTAGTCATTACAGAGTTATTACCGGTTAGTCATTACCAAGCCCCTCACCGCCTCACCAGAGACACTGCTTACCTCTGGCCAGCTCTTCCAACTCCAGCCATTGTTTAGACTTCAGCTGACTTCACTTTCTTTTCAGGAATAGTATTTAAACTAAAGGGAAGTTGGACGTGACCAGCTATATTAAACAATACAACTGCACGATTTCAGCAAGCCATACTGAAGAGAGGCATTGTTAATGTTGAGGGGTGGATTTGTTTGAGATCTGTCTGAAAGCTCAGCTAACCGCAAAGCATAAACATATCCCTGAGAGCAGCAACATGAAGGATTAGTTTAATGTGATGTCCTGGTGGCTACGGGGCAGGCTGAGACATGCAGACATTACAGAGAGCACAACCAGCAGAACACTGAGCCTGTCATCATTCTAACAAACATTGATTCTACAAACTCCAGCAGTTTGTGGAATGACATATACACAGCCTGACATATGATACAGGCATTTAATGCGGTGACAGTATACTAGTATACTAAAAAATGACAAATATACTGTATACCCTCCTTCATGTGAAGAGAAATGCAAACTGCAATGCAGACTGGGAGAATCATGCAAACACTTGAATTTCACTATGAGCTCAACGTCCCTCTCCTGCGTTGTGTACTATAAAGGAGAGTAAGGTGCTCTCCTTCAGCTCCATACGGGTGGTACAGTAAAGAACAATACTAGTCCATATTCTTTTCAGATCACCAACATCCGCCCTGAGGTGTTGGAAGACAGGGTCAGGCACAGTGCAGAGCCTCTAGAGCGGTTTCTGGGTTAAGTGCCTTGCTCAAGGGCACAACGGCAGTACCAGTATCAGTGCCTACCCTGGTTGGTACAGTTGGCGTGTGTCTCGTCGCTGTAGTCTCCACAGTCGTTGTCCCCATCACAGGTCCAGTACTCAGGGATGCAGCGGCCGCTGTTACACTTAAACTGAACACTGGAGCAGGAGTGGCTGCAACCTGCCTCATCACTGTTGTCACCACAGTCGTTGTCTGAACACACACATGAGAGAGACAGAGCGAGAGAGAGAGAGAGAGAGAGAGAGAGAGAGAGAGAGGCAGGCAGAGAAGGCAGGTGCACTCACACACACACAAATGCACGCAGAGACGCACAGAGACACACACACACAGGTAACATTTATTAAGAACTTTCATGAATAACCCATTATAAATGCTTATAAATGCTTAATACATTCGTATACAGGTTATAAATGCTTAGGAATTGTAATGCTTATAATGCTTGAAGGAGATTAATGCTCACCGTTATCACAGCGCCAGTTGACGTTGATGCAGCGTCCGTTGGCACAGGTGAACTGGGTGAGGGGGAAACAGGTGGGGTAGGCTGGGGGAGGAGGAGAGAGGGAACCTTTCAAAATGGCATCCTAGAAACACCATCATGGGCAACAAACTGACCTCTCTTGGCCCACTTGAAACGAAGTAGTGGGACTGTCTAAAACCCCAAACTAACCAAACTGTTGGTTGGCTAAAGCATAAATAAACTAACCAAACTGTTGGTTGGCTAAAGCATAAATAAATCTGATGACCAGGCTTCAGGTATAGTGAGTTGAGTTTCCAATGTTAAACTACCCAGCAAAATATAGGATGCTACAGAGGTTATGTGTGATGAGAAAAGGACCCACCACAGGAGGCCGGCTCGTCAGAACGGTCCCCACAGTCATCATCCAGGTCACATGTCCAGGAAGTGGGGATGCAGCGCCCACTGGCACACGCATACTGGTTGGGCGGGCACGTACGAGCTTGAAAGGGGTGGAGGATAATAGCATAATAGAGAGATGGGAAAGGTGTGTGTGTGTATATGTGTGTGTGTGTGTGTGTGCGAGTGTGTGTGCAGTGTTGGGGAGTAGTTAATTACATGTAGTTCAACTAATAATGTAACTACATTTTACAGTAGCTTGGTGGTAGTTAAACTAGGTATTGTTTTCAGTAATTAATTACTTTTGTACCATGTAGCGGTGTAGCTAACTACTGGAACAACGTACTACTTTTTTGTGCAAAAATAACAGAAAATATGGGTGAAGTAGACCTGCCTAATGCTGACCTGAAACATAGTTTTTTTGTTTAAGAGGCTAAATTACACATTCTGTTAAGATCTGACTCCAGAGTGATCTGTTCTTGCAATTTGTAGTCTATGACATTTCAGATTTAGATATGATAATTGATCACGAAGCAGTTTGCATGTAGTGAACTACCTTTTCAATGTAATTTTAGTTAAGTAAACTGTATGTTTCTTAAGAGCAGCTTTAATGTATCTTAGCGGTCTAAGGCACTGCATCTCAGTGCTTGAGGCGTCACTACAGACCCCCTGGTTCAATTCCAGGCTGTATCACAACCGGCCGTGATTGGGAGTCCCATAGGGCGGCGCACAATTGGCCCAGCGTCGTCCGGGTTTGGCCGGTGTAGGCCGTCATTGTAAATAAGAATTTGTTCTTAACTGACTTGCCTAGTTAAATAAAGGTAAAATACATTTTCATAAACTGGTTTCAGAGTAGCTTCCCCAACACTGTGTGTGTCTAGTGTATGTAGTGTGTGGGTGTGTAGGTGTAGTGTCTCTGTGCGTGTGTGTGTGTGTGTGTGTGTGTGTGTGTGTGTGTGTGTGTGTGTGTGTGTGTGTACCTGAGCAGGTAGTATTAGACTCATCCTCATCATTTCCACAGTCATTGTCCCCGTCACAGAGCCAGCGAAGGGGGATACAGCGGTTGTTCTGGCACTTGAACCGGTCCGATGGACACGTGTGCTGGTCTGGAGGAGAGAAAAGACAGACAGTAGAAATAGAACATTAGAATTAGAATGTAAGATCAATAGAATTAGAACATTAGAATTAGAATTCAATATCAATAGATTTAGAACATTAAAATTAGAATGTAAGATCAATAGAATTAGAACATGTTTATACAGTATCTCTACGAGAGGGACTGTGTCACAGAGTCTCCTATAACTGGCCTAATATAAGGGGATTTACATTAACTGTAAGTTCATAAAGCTGACATTACACATCTATAAGCACATTATGCTTTAGGATGCTGGAGCTTCTGCTGCTCCGACTGCTCTGTCATGCACTGGAAGTCCTCTGTGTATACTTTCATGTATACACAGAGGAATTCTAGTGTTACTAATTGTCGCATGAAGAGAGGAACTATGGGCCTATTTAACACTCAATTTATATTTAATATTCAATTGATGCATGTTTCAAAAAGAGGCAGTATAAGTGCTGGATCAGCTTTAAACGAAGCTCATGCTCTGCTGCTGCTCCCACTCAGCTCAGGATTATCAACTGTGCGTCTCATGCATTGTTGTTGTTGTTGTTGTTGTTGTTGTTGTGTGTGTGTTGCTCAGTAACCATGGCGACGGAGTGGCGGTGTGACACTACTCACGGCAGAGCTCGGGCGCCTCGTCGCTGTTGTCCAAACAGTCGTTGTCACCGTCACACTTCCATCGCTCCTGGATACAGCGGTTGTTCTTACAGGCAAACTCTCCGGGCTGACACTGAGGAGGAGGGATGTAGGTGGGGTTGGCTGGGGAGAGAGAGAGAGAGAGAGAGAGAGAGAGAGAGAGAGAGAGAGAGGAGAAGACTGTTACTGTAGCAGAGCAACGTCTCTCAATCTCAGCTGTTCATATACAGGATGCATTTATCTACTTATGAGGGCTATTAGAACGTATTCAGCTGACCACTCACCAGCTTAAACATTGCCATTCCATCCTGAATCCCAGATCAAGTCATCTTTTAAACTATTCTAATTGAGACCATCCCAATGCATACCTTTACAGGTGACATTGTCGCCATCCAGAATCTGGTCGTCAGCACAGCCACAGGACCTGCCGTCAGGGATAGCTAGACACAGACTGCTGCAGCCACCGTTTTTCACACGACACAGGTTGGTGCCTTTAGAAACACAAACAGAAGACAGGCAGACAGGACCGTTAGCATTGTTACCAAGCTAATTTCATTAAAGTATTAATTTATTCATGCATTCATTCATTCACATCTAGTCTAGCTAAATCACTGACATATTATAACCTTTTATGACATTTTGTGACATAAGAAGTTTTGGCATGTGTTATGATGACACTTTATGACTTGCTTGTTCAATGTATTATATAGTGTTACCTTGTGTTAACCATATAGTGTTCGCTAGTGTTACCTAGTGTTACCCATATAGTGTTAGCTAGTGTTACCCATATAGTGCTAGCTAGTATTACCCATATAGTGTTAGCTAGTGTTACCCATATAGTGTTAGCTAGTATTACCCATATAGTGTTAGCTAGTATTACCCATATAGTGTTAGCTAGTATTACCCATATAGTGTTAGCTAGTATTACCCATATAGTGTTAGCTAGTATTACCCATATAGTGTTAGCTAGTATTACCCATATAGTGTTAGCTAGTATTACCCATATAGTGTTAGCTAGTCTTCCCTAGTGTTACCCATATAGTGTTAGCTAGTATTACCCATATAGTGTTAGCTAGTATTACCCTTATAGTGTTAGCTAGTATTACCCATATAGTGTTAGCTAGTATTACCCATATAGTGTTAGCTAGTATTACCCATATAGTGTTAGCTAGTGTTACCCATATAGTGTTAGCTAGTATTACACAAATAGTGTTAGCTAGTGTTACCCATATAGTGTTAGCTAGTATTACCCATATAGTGTTAGCGAGTGTTACCCATATAGTGTTAGCTAGTACTACCCATATAGTGTTAGCTAGTGTTACCCATATAGTGTTAGCTAGTATTACCCATATAGTGTTAGCTAGTATTACACATATAGTGTTAGCTAGTATTACCCATATAGTGTTAGCTAGTATTACCCATATAGTGTTAGCTAGTGTTACCCATATAGTGTTAGCTAGTACTACCCATATAGTGTTAGCTAGTGTTATCCATATAGTGTTAGCTAGTATTACCCATATAGTGTTAGCTAGTACTACCCATATAGTGTTAGCTAGTGTTACCCATATAGTGTTAGCTAGTATTACCCATATAGTGTTAGCTAGTTTTACCCATATAGTATTACCTATTGTTACCCATATAGCGTTAGCTAGTGTTACCCATATAGTGTTAGCTAGTATTACCCATATAGTGTTACCTAGTGTTACCCATATAGTGTTAGCTAGTGTTACCTAGTATTACCCATATAGTGTTAGCTAGTGTTACCCATATAGTGTTAGCTAGTATTACCCATATAGTGTTACCTAGTGTTACCCATATAGTGTTAGCTAGTGTTACCTAGTATTACCCATATAGTGTTAGCTAGTGTTACCCATATAGTGTTAGCTAGTATTACCCATATAGTGTTACCTAGTGTTACCCATATAGTGTTAGCTAGTGTTACCTAGTATTACCCATATAGTGTTAGCTAGTATTACCCATATAGTGTTACCTTGTGTTACCCATATAGTGTTACCTAGTATTACCCATATAGTGTTAGCTAGTATTACCCTTATAGTGTTAGCTAGTATTACCTAGTATTACCCATATAGTGTTAGCTAGTATTACCCATATAGTGTTAGCTAGTGTTACCCATATAGTGTTAGCTAGTATTACCCATATAGTGTTAGCTAGTATTACCCATATAGTGTTAGCTAGTGTTACCCATATAGTGTTCGCTAGTGTTACCCATATAGTGTTAGCTAGTGTTACCTAGTGTTACCCATATAGTGTTCGCTAGTGTTACCTAGTGTTACCCATATAGTGTTAGCTAGTATTACCTAGTGTTACCCATATAGTGTTAGCTAGTATTACCCATATAGTGTTAGCTAGTGTTACCTAGTGTTACCCATATAGTGTTCGCTAGTGTTACCCATATAGTGTTAGCTAGTAGTACCTAGTGTTACCCATATAGTGTTAGCTAGTGTTACCTAGTGTTACCCATATAGTGTTCGCTAGTGTTACCCATATAGTGTTAGCTAGTGTTACCCATATAGTGTTAGCTAGTATTACCCATATAGTGTTAGCTAGTATTACCCATATAGTGTTAGCTAGTATTACCTAGTGTTACCCATATAGTGTTAGCTAGTGTTACCCATATAGTGTTAGCTAGTATTACCCATATAGTGTTAGCTAGTATTACCTAGGGTTTTTATGGATCAGCTTAATATTGCAGATAGATTGTATCTTCTATCAATGTAATTGTCTGCATCACTTCCAATCCCCCATGTTTTTTGGTATTTTTTATATATATACTCCCCTTTATTACTTTTCAACCCCACCATCCTTTCCCTACTTGGAGTAAATTAGTGAACAACAATGCCCAGGCCCAGGTATTACCTAGTGTTACCCATATAGTGTTAGTTAGTGTCACCTAGTGTTACCCATATAGTGTTAGTTAGTGTCACCTAGTGTTACCCATATAGTGTTAGTTAGTGTCACCTAGTGTTACCCATATAGTGTTAGTTAGTGTCACCTAGTGTTACCCATATAGTGTTAGTTAGTGTCACCTAGTGTTACCCATATAGTGTTAGCTAGTGTTACCTAGCTAGTGTTACCCATATAGTGTTAGCTAGTATTACCTAGTGTTACCCATTTAGTGTTAGCTATTGTTATCTAGTGTTACCTATATAGTGTTAGCTAGTATTACCTACAGTGCATTCAGAAAATATTCAGACCCCTTGACTTTTTCCACATTTTGTTATGTTACAGCCTTCTTCTAAAATGGATTCAATAAAAAACTTTCTTCATCAATCTACACACAATACCCCATAATGACAAAGCGAAAACAGGTTTTTCTAATTTTTTGCAAATGTATTAAAAATAAAAAACAGAAATACCTTATTTACATAAGTATTCAGACCCTTCGATATGAGACTCGAAATTGAGCTCAGGTGCATCCTGTTTCCATTGATCATCCTTGAGATGTTTCTACAACTAGATTGGAGTCCACCTGTGGTAAATTCAATTGATTGGACATGATTTGGAAAGGCACACACCTGTCTATATAAGGTCCCACAGTTGACAGTGCATGTCAGAGCAAAAACAAAGCCATGAGGTCGAAGGAATTGTCCGTAGAGCTCCGAGACAGGATTGTGTTGAGGCACAGATCTGGGGAAGGGTACCAAAAAATGTCTGCATCATTGAAGTGGCCAGTGGCCTCTATCATTCTTAAATGGAAGAAGTTTGGAACCACCAAGACTCTTCCTAGAGCTGGCCGCCCGGTCAAACTGAGTAATCGGGGGAAGGGCTTTGGTCAGGGAGGTGACCAAGAACCCAATGGTCACTCTGACAGAGCTCCAGAGTTCCTCTGTGGAGATGGGAGAACCTTCCAGAAGGACAACTATCTCCGCAGCACTCCACCAATCAGGCCTTTATGGTAGAGTGGCCAGACGGAAGCAACTCCTCAGTAAAAGGCACATGACAGCCCGCTTGGAGTTTGCCAAAAGGCACCTAAAGGACTCAGACCATGAGAAACAAGATTCTCTGGTCTGATGAAACCAAGATTGAACACTTTGGCCTGAATGCCAAGCGTCACGTCTGGAGGAAACCTGGCACCATCCCTACAGTGAAGCATTCTGGTGGCAGCATCATGCTGTGGGGATGTTTTTCAGCGGCAGGGACTGGGAGACTAGTCAGGATCGAGGGAAAGATGAACGGAGCAAAGTACAGAGAGATCCTCGATGAAAACCTGCTCCAAAGCGCTCAGGACCTCAGACTGGGGTGAACGTTCACCTTCCAATAGGACAACGACCCTACGCAAACAGCCAAGACAACGCAGAAGTGGTTTCGGGACAAGTCTCAGAATGTCCTTGAGTGACCCAGCCAGAGCCCAGACTTGAACCCGATCGAACATCTCTGGAGAGACCTGAAAATAACTGTGCAGCGACGCTCCCCAAGAGCTTGAGAGGATCTGCAGAGACGAATGGGAGAAACTCCCCAAATACATACTCGAGGCTGTAATCGCTGTCAAAGGTAATTCAACAAAGTACTGAGTAAAAGGTCTGAATACTTATGTAAATGTGACATTTCCGTTTTTTCTTTTTAATAAATGTGCTATTTTTTTCAAACATGTTTTGGTTTTGTCATTATGGGGTATCGTTTGCAGATTGATGACGGGGGGAAAAAACAATTTAATCCATTTTAGAATAAGGCTGTAACGTAACAAAATGTGGAAAAAGTCAAGGGGTCTGAATTCATTCCGAATGCACTGTATATAGTGTTACCCATGTAGTGTTACCTAGTGTTACCCATATAATGTTACCCATATAGTGCTACCTAGTGTTACCCATGCAGTGTTACCTAGTGTTACCCATGTAGTGTTACCTAGTGTTACCCACATAGTGTTACCATGTAGTGTTACCCATATAGTGTTATCCATATAGTGTTACCTAGTGTTACCCATGTAGTGTTACCTAGTGTTACCCACATAGTGTTACCCATGTAGTGTTACCCATGTAGTGTTACCCTTATAGTGTTATCCATATATTGTTACCTAGTGTTACCCACATAGTGTTACCCATATAGTGTTACCCATGTAGTGTTACCTAGTGTTACCCACATAGTGTTACCCATGTAGTGTTACCCATGTAGTGTTACCCATATAGTGTTACCCATATAGTGTTACCCATATAGTGTTACCTAGTAAAGTATTATCCATTAAAGTTACCTTGCTGCTGGTGAGCGTCATACACGCGGATCTCGAAGAGGGGTGGCCGTTCATTGCGGAGCAGCGTCACAGTGCTGGTGGTGGTGTCCAGTTTGAAGATGCTGCCGCCGCGGTACTCGTTCCAAAACAGGAAGTGCTTGTAGTGACACAGGCCGAAGGCGTGGTTCAACTCACTTCCCTCGTATACCATCTGACCAATGAGAGAGAGAAAATGATCATGGGACACGGATCATGGTCAAGATGAAGGTCAAAACCATTTTAATATATACATATTTGCTGACACTTTATTTAGACAGTTTGGCAATCAGATGGGATACAGGCAGGTGGGAGAAACAGTAGGAAGTGTGGATGCGGGGACTGAACCCCGGTCTCTGGTGGGGAGATTTGTCCATGCGTGATCATTGGGGTTAGGGCTAGGCTTAGTAACCAGTCTAACTGACCTTGCGCTCGGTGGTGTTGAGGTAAACCATCTCAATGCGGTCGTAGTAGGCATCCACCCAGTACAGGATGCCCTGTGGGATGTTCAGACTCAGGCCGTTGGGCCACAGCACTGTCTTACTGGTCAGCAGGACCTGGTCGTGAGAGCCGTCCATCCATGCCTTCTTGATCTTCCCTCGGTTAGTCTTCTTGGGGTCCTCCTCCCAGTCCGTCCAGTACATCCACCTGGAACACAATCACTCGTTCTGTTAGAGAAATACTAGGGTTGTAAACTTCCAGTAACTTTCCCCAAATTCCCAGGTTTCCCAGAAATCCCCCAAAAATCAGGAAATCCAGGAATCCTCCAACCAGTATTTCTGGAAAACCTAGAATTTTGGGAAAATCACAGACATTTTTCAATACATTCTCATAGGGTGATGTCTCTGCGTGAGATGTATACTGTAGCAATGGAACATAAGGAGGGTATAATGTCTGACCCGTGCTGGGGGTCCACTACGATGGCGCGGGGGTGGGTCATCTTGCCCTCGATGAGGGTCTTGCGTGTCTGAGAGGCCTTCTCCAACCTGGCCACACTGATGGTCTTCATGGGCCCGTCGTCTGTCCAGTATAGGTTACCTGCCATCCAGTCTACCGCTATCCCCTCCACGGTGTGGACGCCTGAGGGAAGGAAAGGAGGGAGGAAGGGACAGAGGGATAGAGGAAGGGAGAGCGGGAGGGAGAAAGAGAGACGGTGACTGTCTAGTAGGGCTTGGTATTGGCAGGGACCTCATGACAGAATTCGTACCACAATTCCTAGGTCACGATGTGATACATCTCGTGATTCTATATGCATCACGGTTCTATATGAATTGCGATTTGATTTTGTAATAGGGTGGAACAGAGGGTTGTTGAAATGCATTTAATGTTAAATACTATGGTACTAGATCAGTCCTTACCGTCCTTCAGTATGGTGTCTCTCTCGGTGCCGTCGATCTTCTGCCGTCCAATTATGAAACTCACGGCGTCAGCGAAGTAGATGAATTCGCTCTCGGCGTGGAAGTCCAGCGCCCTCGGGTTCATCAGATTCTCAATGGGGATCATGTACTCGTCTGGGACCTTGGCATTCATGTCCATACCACGGATGATGCCAGGGCGACCCTTACCGTACACCAGGAACAACTCATGTTCAGGTTCTGCAGAGGGAACATCAGACAACATTACTGTCCTACCAAGCAAAAGAGCAGTAACTGCACATTTGGTCAAAAATGAGTTATTTACATTTTTTATACATTAAATACATGCTTTATCATGTGGACAAATATCCTGCCTCCCATTGTATTGTATTATGGAGAAAAGCGGGGCAGTAACCGCAAAAAGTTAAAGTGAAACCAAGGAAAAAGGCAGTAACTGCCATCACTCACGTCAGTTACTGCCTTTTACTTTGGTTTCACTGAACTTTGGGCTGCAGTGTCTACGGTAAACCTTGGTATTATTTATTGTTCTTTGCTGATATCAAACTATATGACACAGACAGCCACATACAAATAAATATACTAACACAAGATTGTATTTAAAAAAAAATCATAATGGAAACGTATTCCAGTGGCTGTACCAAGCAAGAAGGCAGTAACTGCCTTCTAGGGTCAAAGGTCATGTCAGTGGTCAGGGTCAATATGAATAAAAAATAACCTCATAGTAAGACAGATAACCACATCTCTAATAATCTGAATACAATTCATTTGGCTGGACAATAAAAAAAACTTTCACTCTATGAGCAGTTACTGCTCTTTTGCTTATTTTAAATCATCGTCATGGGAACATCGCTGAACGGTTAATTACAAGATTGGAGCAACACAACAACAAGACCTTTTATGTCCAAAGAGAATGTCAAAAGTGATGTAAATGGTACATTTTCTTGCTTCTAGAGATTTTACTAAACTCATATTACTACTAAATAAATTGCAGGTCTGTTCTGTATGGAGTTCTGTACTGAGCTGAGATGTGCTGTTGTGTGTGATTTCCATGCTATGCTCATTGTATGGCATTCAATTCAATTCAATTAAAAACTTAATGTATGTAAAGTACTCACTCTTGCAGGACTTCCCATCACTGCCCAGGCTGAATCCAGAGCGGCAGCGGCAGGTCCGGGTCTTGTGGCTGTTCCCCAGCAGACAGATGTCTGAGCAGCCTCCTGGCTTCTTAAACTGGTCCGGGGCACAGGCATGACTCTTCTCTCTCACTGGGCACCAGGGGACAAGAGAGGGGTCAGGGGGCAGAGGTCAGAGGTCAGAAGCGAATGGTCAGCACTATGCACCAACATGGCTACAACTATGATGATAGATACAGACAGATAGATACCCATCTGGACTACTCCAACCAGGATTTCAGGAAAACCTGAGAATTTTGGAACATTACCATCATTTTGTTACCCTAGGCGTGTACCTACATGGAGGTTGGAGTGTCTGGTGGTACACGTGCAGGGCTGGAACAAAAACCTGTGCACACTACGTTCCAAACTCCATGGCAAAGATTGCCCCATACCTACAGCGGCTATCCTGGGTAGATACACTGGGGGTTGTGGGTGTGAACCTACCTGGGGGTTGGCGTCTCTGATGGTACACGTGCAGGGCGGCGCCGCGGTCCACCCTGGTAACCACCGTGTAGTCAGAGGAGTTGAAGCGGTTGATCCGGATCACACTGGTCTTAGCGGGGTTCAGGTTGCCTTCATCTGAGTTGGTGGCGTACAGGTAGTTCTCAAACACCGTCAGCCCATAAAGGTGTTCAATCTAAAAGAATGAACAACAGAAACACTGTCTGAGTTGGTGTCTGTGTATGTATTGTGTATGTGTGTGTGTGTGTGTGTGTGGGAGTGTGGTGGGTGTGTGTGGTGTGTGTGTGTATGTCCTCACCAGCAGGCCTTGTATGATGGTGTGTCTGTTCTTGCCTTCGTAGTCCACCACCTCTATGTAGTCCAGGTAGGCATCAGCCCAGTACACCAGCCTGTTGACCAGGTCCAGGGTGATACCGTGGGGGAACACGATCTTACTGTCCACCAGCTTGGTCCGGTTCTGACCGTCCATGTCACAACGCTCCACCTTGGGAGTCTGACCGTAGTCTGTGAAGAACACCTTCCTGTAGGGAGTGAGGGGAGGTAGAGCAGTGCATGGGAATATTACATTGAGGAAAGGGAGGACTGACCCCATTATAATGTACTTCTTCAATTTATATTTGACCCCTCACATTCAAGATGCACCAAACTATTTTGACGTGCCAGAGTCAGCAAGGTGAACCATCAGATCCTCCTCTCCACCCTCTCCGAGTTAGGCATCTCCGGCGCTGCTCACTCTTGGATTGCGTCCTACCTGACAGGTCGCTCCTACCAGGTGGCGTGGCGAGAATCTGTCTCCGCACCACGTGCTCTCACCACTGGTGTCCCCCAGGGCTCAGTTCTAGGCCCTCTCCTATTCTCTCTATACACATTTTTTACATTTACATTTTAGTCATTTAGCAGACGCTCTTATCCAGAGCGACTTACAGTTAGTGAGTGCATACATTTTCATACACCAAGTCACTTGGCTCTGTCATATCCTCACATGGTCTCTCCTATCATTGCTACGCAGACGACACACAATTAATGTTCTCCTTTCTTTTCTGATATATCAGTGTGGATGTCGGATCACCACCTCAAGCTGAACCTCGGCAAGACGGAGCTGCTCTTCCTCCCGGGGAAGGACTGCCCGCTCCATGATCTCGCCATCACGGTTGACAACTCCATTGTGTCCTCCTCCCAGAGTGCAAAGAACCTTGGCGTTCTTTGCACTCTGGAGGTTCATGCTCTACAACATTCGCAGAGTACGACCCTACCTTACACAGAAAGCAGCACAGGTCCTAATCCAGGCACTTGTCATCTCCCGTCTGGATTACTGCAACTCGCTGTTGGCTGGGCTCCCTGCCTGTGCCATTAAACCCCTACAACTTATCCAGAACGCTGCAGCCCGTCTGGTGTTCAACCTTCCCAAGTTCTCTCATGTCACCCCGCTCCTCCGCACACTCCACTGGCTTCCAGTTGAGGCTTGCATCTACTACAAGACCATGGTGCTTGCCTACGGACCTGTGAGGGGAACGGCACCTCCTTACCTTCAGGCTCTGATCAGACCCTACACCCAAACGAGGGCACTACGTTCATCCACCTCTGGCCTGCTAGCTCCCCTACCTCTACTCAAGCACAGTTCCCGCTCAGCCCAGTCAAAGCTATTCGCTGCTCTGGCACCCCAATGGTGGAACAAGCTCCCCCACGACGCCAGGACAGCGGAGTCACTGACCACCTTCCGGAGACACTTGAAACCCTACCTCTTTAAGGAATACCTGGAATAGTATAAAGTAATCCTTCTATCCATTTTTACATTTACATTTTAGTCATTTAGCAGACGCTCTTATCCAGAGCGACTTACAGTTAGTGAATACATTTTTTTATTTTTATACTGGCCCCCCGTGGGAATCGAACCCACAACCCTGGCGTTGCAAACGCCATGCTCTATCAACTGAGCTATATCCCTGCCGGCCATTCCCTCCCCTCCCCTACCCTGGACGACGCTGGGCCAATTGTGCGCCGCCCATGAGTCTCCCGGTCGCGGCCGGCTGCGACAGAGCCTGGATTCGAACCAGGATCTCTAGTGACACAGTTCGCACTGCGATGCAGTGCCTTAGACCACTGCGCCACTCAGGAGACAATCCCCCCCCCTCCCCCATAAAAAAAGAAGGAAAAAAAAGGTTGTCCCACTGGCTATCATAAATTGAATGCACCAATTTGTAAGTCGCTCTGGATAAGAGCGTCTGCTAAATGATGTAAATGTAAATGTAAATGTGTCTGTGTCTTAGAGGAGGAAGTGTTTTGACTGACTAAGGGCTGGGTGGGCAGTCACCTGACCAGACGGACCCAGGGGAAGTACACAAGGGCACTTCTTAGAAGTCTATGGGGTTATTAGTGGGGCAACGCTCACCCCATGAGGGGGTCCAGGGCAATGCCTTTAGGGTTGTAGAGCTCCTGATCCAGCAGGGTGACACACGTCTGGCCGTCAGCGTTGCACACAAATATACGATCGTCCACGTTGTCCTCAAAGTAGAAGTTTCCTGTCAGCCAGTCAATAGCCATCTGTTCCACATCTGGTGGGATAGAGAGAAGAGGTTAAGTATGTGGGATAGACAGAGAGAGAGTTAGAGAGAGCGAGAGAGAGTTAGAGAGAGTTAGAGAGAGAGAGAGAGCGAGAGAGAGTTAGAGAGAGAGAGATAGACAGAGAGAGAGACTGACAGACAGACAGAGCGAGCGAGCGCGCGAGAGAGAGAGAGAGAGAGAAAGAGAGAGAGAGAGATGGACAGAGAGAGAGACTGACAGACAGAGTGAGCGAGCGAGCGAGAGAGAGAGAGAGAGCGAGAGAGAGAGAGAGAGAGAGAGAGAGAGAGAGAGAGAGAGAGAGAGAGAGAGAGAGAGAAGACTAAACAAGAGCAGCATTGTAATTTAGGAGTTCCTGTCTTGGTGTTCCGTTGGCTGGTATAGAGGGTTGTCCACCACTTGAATGGGGTGACATACTTTGAGAGAGAGAGGAGAGGGAGAGAACGAGACAGAGAGAGACAGAGAAAAAGTTTCGGAGCTGAACTCCAGGCAAGTCTGTGTATATTTGTAAACAACAGCTGGTGCACAAAATCAAATACTAAGGAAGTCTCGAGGTTTTGCTCGCCTGAGGTAGAGTATCTTATGATAAGCTGTAGACCACACTATTTACCAAGAGAGTTTTCATCTATATTTTTCATAGCTGTCTATTTACCACCACAAACCAATGCTGGCATTAAGATTGCACTGAATGAGCTGTATAAGGCCATAAGTTAACAGAAAAACGCTCATCCAGAGGCAGCGCTCCTAGTGGCCGGGGACTTTAATGCAGGGAAACTTAAATCCGTTCTACCTCATTTCTACCAGCATGTTAAATGTGCAACCAGAGGAAAAAAAACTCTAGACCACCTTTACTCCACACACAGAGACGCATACAAATCTCTCCCTCGCCCTCCATTTGGCAAATCTGACCATAACTCTATCCTCCTGATTCCTGCTTATAAGCAAAAACTAAAGCAGGAAGCACCAGTGACTCGGTTAATAAAAAAGTGGTCAGATGACGCAGATGCTAAACTACAGGACTGTTTTGCTAGCACAGACTGGAACATGTTCCGGGATTCTTCAGATAGCATTGAGGAGTACACCACATCAGTCACTGGCTTCATCAATAAGTGCATCGATGATGTCGTCCCCACAGTGACCGTACGTACATACCCCAACCAGAAGCCATGGATTACAGGAAACATCCGCACTGAGCTAAAGGGTAGAGCTGCCGCTTTCAAGGAGCGGGACTCTAACCCGGACGCTTATAAGAAATCCCGCTATGCCCTCCGACGAACCATCAAACAGGAAAAGAGCCAATACAGGACTAAGATTGAATCGTACTACACCGGCTCTGACGCTCGTCGGATGTGGCAGGGCTTGAAAACTATTACAGACTACAAAGGGAAGCACAGCCGTGAGCTGCCCAGTGACACAAAACTTCCAGACGAGCTAAACCACTTCTATGCTCGCTTCGAGGCAAGCAACACTGAAGCATGCATGAGAGCACCAGCTGTTCCGGATGACTATGTGATCACGCTCTCCGTAGCCGATGTGAGTAAGACTTTTAAGCAGGTCAACATTCACAAGGCAGCAGGGCCAGACGGATTACCAGGACGTGTACTCAGAGCATGTGCTGACCAACTGGCAAGTGTCTTCACTGACATTTTCAACATGTCCCTGACTGAGTCTGTAATACCAACATGTTTCAAGTAGACCACCATAGTCCCCGTGCCCAAGGACACTAAGATAACCTGCCTAAATGACTACCGACCCGTAGCACTGACGTCTGTAGTCATGAAGTGCTTTGAAAGGCTGGTCATGGCTCACATCAACACCATTATCCCAGAAACCCTAGACCCACTCCAATTTGCCTACCGCCCCAACAGATCCACAGATGATGCAATCTCTATTGCACTCCACACTGCCCTTTCCCACCTGGACAAGAGGAACACCTACGTGAGAATGCTATTCATTGACTACAGCTCAGCATTCAACACCATAGTGCCCTCAAAGCTCATCACTAAGCTAAGGATCCTGGGACTAAACACTTCCCTCTGCAACTGGATCCTGGACTTCCTGACGGGCCGCCCCCAGGTGGTAAGGGTAGGTAACAACACATCTGCCACACTGATCCTCAACACGGGGGCCCCTCAGGGGTGCGTGCTCAGTCCCCTCTTGTACTCCCTGTTCACCCATGACTGCATGGCCAGGCACGACTCCAACACCATCATTAAGTTTGCCGACGACACAACAGTGGTAGGCCTGATCACCGACAACAATGAGACAGCCTATAGGGAGGAGGTCAGAGACCTGGCCGTGTGGTGCCAGGATAACAACCTCTCCCTCAACGTGACCAAGACAAAGGAGATGATTGTGGACTACAGGAAAAAAAAGAGGACTGAGCACGCCCCCATTCTCATCGACGGGGCTGTAGTGGAACAGGTTGAGAGCTTCAAGTTCCTTGGTGTCCACATCACCAACGAACTATCATGGTCCAAACACACCAAGACAGTCGTGAAGAGGGCACGACAAAGCCTATTCCCCCTCAGGAGACTGAATAGATTTGGCATGGGTCCTCAGATCCTCAAAAAATTATACAGCTGCACCATTGAGAGCATCCTGACTGGTTGCATCACCGCCTGGTATGGCAACTGCTTGGCCTCCGACAACAAGGCACTACAGAGGGTAGTGCGTACGGCCCAGTACATCACTGGGGCCAAGCTTCCTGCCATCCAGGACCTCTATACCAGGCGGTGTCAGAGGAAGGCCCTCAAAAAAAGACTCCAGCCACCCTAGTCATAGACTGTTCTCTCTGCTACCGCACGGCAAGCGGTACCAGAGTGCCAAGTCTAGGTCCAAAATACTTCTCAACAGCTTCTACCCCCAAGCCATAAGACTCCTGAACAGCTAATCATGGCTACCCAGACTATTTGCACTGCCCCCCCACCCCCACCCCATCTTTTTACGCTGCTGCTACTCTGTTAATTATTTATGCATAGTCACTTTAACTCTACCCACATGTACATATTACTTCAACTACTTCAACTAGCCGGTGCCCCCGCACATTGACTCTGCACCGGTACCCCCCTGTATATATAGCCTCCCTACTGTTATTTTATTTTACTTCTGCTCTTTTTTTCTCAACACTTTTTTGTTGTTGTTTTATTTTACTTTTTTATTAAAAATAAATGCACTGTTGGTTAAGAGCTGTAAGTAAGCATTTCACTGTAATGTCTGCACCTGTTGTATTCGGCGCATGTGGCCAATAAAAGTTGATTTGATTTGATTTGATTTGACTCCAAACACAGCCCATTAGCCCATTAGCTCAGCCCACCCAGTGGGAGAGAAAGACATTAACCCTCTCCACCCAACCCACAGCCTGCTTGGTGACCTGACCCAACCCTGACTAACAACCCTGCCTCATTCATATACTCTTTTCACACAACTGAGTTGAGCCAAACCGAGCCAAGCTAAGCCAAGCTGTACTGGTTATATATCCGCCATAGTTGCTGGAACCGTGCTTAAAATGACAAGGTCAATCAGAGACAGCACAGCAAAGTACAGTTCAAATCTGTATGGTAGTGTAGAAAGGGAAAAGACAGACAACACACACTCACTCTGTCTGAGCACTGACTGCCTGACTGACTGCCTGACTGACTGCCTAACTGGCTGACTGGCTGACTGCCTAACTGGCTGACTGGCTGACTGAATAGCTAGCTGACTGACTGACTGACTAACTGGCTGACTGGCTGACTGACTGGCGGACTGGCTGACTGAATAGCTAGCTGGCTGACTGGCTGACTGACTGGCTGACTGAATAGCTAGCTGACTGACTGACTGACTGGCTGACTGCCTAACTGGCTGACTGGCTGACTGAATAGCTAGCTGACTGACTGACTGACTGGCTAACTGGCTAACTGGCTGACTGGCTGGCTGAATAGCTAGCTGACTGACTGGCTGGCTGGCTGACTGACTGACTGACTGACTGGCTGGCTGACTAGCTGAGAAGTTTGACAGCAGAACGAGGAAAAGGATCTGCGTTTGAATGAAATGCTGATGGTGTTATTTTGGAGGCTGTGGATCCTCCCTCTTGGTTTCTTCCAGCTGACTACCTCAACAAGGGCTAGTCTCTGACAATGAGAGTCTATTTGTGAGAAGGCAGCTGGGTAGAGAGGGTAGGGAGGGTGGAGGGGAAGTTCCACAGAGAGACCCAGCTGTAGGAGGGAGGGGGCAGGTAGCCTGTTCATTCCTACCCCCCTGTAGTTTTCCTGTCCCATCCCACCCCCCTGTATTTAGCCTGTCCAATCCCACCCCCCTGTAGTTCGCCTGTCCCATTCCACCCCCCTGTAGTTAGCCTGTCCCATCCCAACCCCCTGTAGTTAGCCTGTCCCATCCCAAACCCCTGTAGTTAGCCTGTCCCATCCCAACCCCCTGTAGTTAGCCTGTCCCAGCTAGTGACTCCAGCAGTTATTTAAGCAATAAGGCACAAGGGGGTGTGGTATATGGCCAATAAACCACGGCTAAGGGCTGTTCTTTGGCACGAAGCATCACAGAGTCCCTGGATACAGCCCTTAGCAGTGGTATATTGGCCATATACCACAAACCCCCGAGGGGTATTATTGCTATTATAAACTGGTTACCAACGTAATTAGAGCATTACAAATAAATGTTTTCTCATACCTGTGGTATACGGTCTGATATACCACGGCTGTCAGCCAATCATCATTCAGGGCTCGAACCACCCAGTTTATAAATCCTGTTATAAACTGGGTGGTTCGAGCCCTGAATGCTGATTGGCTGACAGCTGTGGTATACTCTATGTTGCGTCGTGCCTAAGAGCAGCCCTTAGCCATGGTATATTGGCCATATACCACACCCCCTCGGGCCTTATTGCTTAATTATAGACTGTCCCAGGG